TAAACAATAATATATATAATATAAATATGTAAAGGTAACTGGTAAGTAGTTCAATACATTCTATATCCGTTCATAAAAAAAGTGTGACATCATCTAGGCATAAAGTCTCCGAAATCTTGTAAATAAAAATATAAACGATTCAAACAGCTCAATGATGAGTATTAGATTTATTTAAAATTTGTTTTATTGCTTAAATATAAATATAAAACTAAAATTATTATTTATTCATAAATATATATTAGTAGCGATCTGCAGTCTCTGGTATTTCTTAAGTAAATATTATCTAGTTTAAACATTATATATTATAATTAACTAATTAACTAAAATTTGATTTTGTAATATTTTAGGGATGCAAATAAGGTATCTATGTATTTATTTTACCAGGACATCTTTAAAAATATCATATAATACCAATATAATATTATAATACTATTGAATATCAGTAATCTAGTCACAAAGTTCTAAAGTTTAGTCCAATGATTTATTTCGTGTAATTAACGAATTCGCAATAACGTTCCATTATCCTGGGTGAATGAAGCAATACGAGTGCCCAAATCCTAATAAACAGTGTATTGGTAGCCTCATAGTAGCCTGCATAATTAATTGGGTATTAACTTTTAATAGGAAATAGTGATACGATATTTCTATTTTTACAACAGTTTTTTAACGGTTCATAATTGTATATACCAAACGATATTTCATTATGCGTAAAATATCTTTATGTAGAATGTATTCTTCTTTAGTACCAATTCATACTTTCAGTTGGCGTTAAAAAAAAGGATGACATGGATACAAGACAATAAATTTAAATGTGTAGGATGGCTGTAGATGACTGTTAGATCTTGGAAAATATTTATGGAGAAATGTTTAAGTAAAGATTTATGAATGGCATACCCGTTCAGGCATTTTATAGAATATAATGAAATGAATGAGTTTTAAATTTCGTATTTAAAAGATATCTCTTTTGATATTTTCCTTCTAATGATGGGTGCATTTTTTATTATTATTATTATATTATTATTGTCCTATGTAAATATTAAATATAATTCAGTGCGGTAACAATGACCATGAAAAAATTTCCCAAGGAAATAATGGCCTTTATAAAACGTCCATCAGGTAGAAAATTCTAAGTGTTTATTATAGCTACTTCAGAGTTCAGATCCGATATATGATAATGTAACTACAGAATATCCCTCTTGTTATTAATTGATTGTATTCAGACGGTTTTCTAAATAAAATATATTTTTAATGTGCAATAAATGTTGAAAAGTTGTTTGTATATTTAAATTAATTTATGTTTATTTTTATTTTTTGTATGGAAGTCACTTATAACGTTAAATCAATGTCTGAACATGTTAAATATTTATCCTCATATTAATAATTGATCAAAAACACTACCGTGACTTTTAAGAAAGTGCTCGTGTATAAAACTAATAATGAGATGTTCGAAAAATGTCTAAATATTAACAATTTTATACTGGTAATACATTTTTTTAAATTTTTTAGTAATTTTATTTGAATCATCACTGTTTTGACTTTCATTAAATTTGTTTTGACAAAATTAACAAAATATTTTAAATGAAACAGGAACAATTCAAACACACTTGTAAATTTTCGTTTGTAAAATATTATTTTAACTTAGGTAAACAGTCAATAATTGTATATAACGTACTTTGTATTTTATCTAACAAAATATTAAGCTGGGTACTTTTTGCTACTACAAAAAATTTAAAAAATAAAAATTTACCTCAGAGTTGTTTTTTGTAATAATAACTGTTGAGACGAATAAAGTTTTTAACCATTAAAAGTTTTAATTACAAATAACAATAGTGTGCATTTATTCACTTGAAAGTTTGACTTTTAATGTTCATAAAGGAGCACCCAAAACCTTTGTTATTTGATAGTATACACCTCGACAGTCAATTGCTGGAATTCTACTCTTGTGTTATATTAAAATGACAATCAAAGGGATATGAATGTCAAGATTTTTCTTAATTGATATATAAATAGTTTGTTGGTATATTTTGTCTAACTATAAGATAGTTATTTTTATATTATGACTTTTAAACGATGCTAAAATAAAATAAATTATGTTGCATGAGAAAGTTAAACGAATCGTCCAGCCCAATGAATATTCACTGTCAGTGTATACTGCACGTGAATTGGAGTTTACAAACGAACTTTGATGAAGTCATTTTTACGTCTACGAAAGTTTCGAAATGATATGTTACCAAGGTAAATAAAAACAATTTTAAGATGACTGTGATTGGGTTGACATTCTTTGAAAACTAATTAAAAGCAATAAATATGATAACATTATTATAAAAATAAATAATAATACTGTTTGTTTATCGAGACTTCTCCGCATTATATTTATATTATTTAGTATATAAGTATTATAAACTATCAAATTTCAAAACAAAGACTCGACATATTTTCAGTTTTATTAGTTTAAATTATTCAAATTTTAATTTTTTTTCTGTTTGAATATAGCTGCTGACGCAGCCCACCAGGTTTATAAGGAAATAAGACATATAAGTACTCAGATAAAAAGTTAGTTCTTCCATTGAAATTAAATAAGGTATTGTTATATTTACATGTATTAAGTAAGTCGAACTTATGGGACATCTTTTACTCACTGAATGTATGAGAAACAGTTGTAAATTAAAAATTTGTATACATTTATTTCATAAGCTATTATTGCTTTTACTAATGCACCTCATATTATTACAAATTGCAATATTATGATCATATTGTATATTTCGTCTCAAAACTCCAGCGAAAGGCATAAAAACTGGCTCTTCCTTAATATATTTATCATCTACAGATTTCTTGTAATAGATGCGGTTGATTATTTTTAATTTTAAGACGCCTACTCCATGCAAAATAAACAACTCAACAACAACGCGGGATTACCCTACCCATAAAAACATGTATGACAAATCAATTAAAAACTTTCGCTACAGACTAAATAAAACCAAACGAGCTCTTTTCAAAATCAATAAAATAAATCTCCAAACCTAGACTAAAACCATGCTTACACCAAGATACCTTTCTATGAGACTATGAAGATCAACTAGACAACTTATAAAAAAGATATTTCACTCTTTAATATTCAATACAGTAGGTATATTATGTTAGTGTATAATATTATAATCAGATAGGTATGTAATATTTTTCGTACTGTAAATGTAATATATTGTAAAAACATAAAGTAAGTACGTTAAGTTTGTTAACACAATGAATCAAATAACAAAAGTATATGTATGTTTTATACCTAATTGTTAGCTGCAAGTCTTTACGTCAAATTTTAACAAATAAATATGTTTTTGGACTGGCTACAACTTTTTTTTTCCGGCCGATTCTCGTAAAGCTTTGTTCATTTTTATAGAAAAGCAAACGAATTAAAATTTAAAATTAAAAACTCCTAACAAAATGTAGCATGGTGTTCGATATTTCCACTGCGCTATACTCAAAAACATATCTATAATTCCTCAATGTTCCTTTCAGATAAAAAATATCTAGTAGCATGCTACTTGTAATGTACACGATTTGTCGCATAAAAGTGTGAGAGAGGTGAGCGGTTTCTTCTCCCTGTGGTTTATTCTTAACAACTTTGATTTTGAAATTCACAAAACTAGTCCCCACAACTAAATCCTAGTTACGCCCATGAAAGTAACTTCTAAAAATACTCGTATAGAATAATATTTAAATATCAACTAAACTTTTCAGACTGAGCATACTCGATATGCATAGTAAATTAATATCATAAAACGCAAGAAATCCCATTTTTTTTATATCTTTTGAATGCTTTTATGTAATGGAATATCAAGAATCCGGGCAAAATACTGAGCTCGAAATCAATATAATGGTAATATCAATACTATTTGATGTAGGTAACTTATTATATTACACCGTAAAAAAGAAATATGTTTGTCACTATAGAGTACCTAATACATAACCGACCAAATAGAAGTCAATCTTCTTTTTTAATTATAAATGTAAAAGAAATATAATTTCAAAAAAAGCTATTCTACACTTCTAAATTATTCATATTTTAATGTTTTTGCCGTTATCAAACTTAAATTATCCATCTATATTTTACAATGTTTAAAACTCAATTGTTTATTATTTAACAGCTTTAGGCTCAACACAGTTGTAATACTTAAATAAAATGTATAGTCATGAATTGTAATTCACAATTTGCATTGCACTTTTCATCATGCACAACACGCATTGTTTATTCACAATTATTTTATTTTTATCGTTTTAAAATCACCGTCACTATGTTAAATGTTATTTTTTACAGTCATCATCTAGATTCTAGATTTTTAAATCTATCGATCAACTATTTCTATGGTTTAACGCATTGGTCTCTAACCTACTCCCGCGGGCTGGTTTCGACTACCCGAGCTAACTGATATTTAGAAAATAATAAATTATATGGTTTTGAATTTATTAATATTACACTAAATCGGAAACAGGTAATAAAATAAAAGGCATTTGGTTTTTTTAGTTTATCACAGTGAAAATAATTAATACATTTTAAAATAAAAAAACTATTCTCATGTTTCTTAAATCGCATTCTCAAATCTTTCCATGGCTCTCTAAACAATGTTGGTGCGCGATGCCGAAGTGTAGGTGTTTCGGATTCGATCGACTGCGGATGAAAGATTGAAGACCCCTGGTTAAATGCATCCTTAGCACAGGTTACATTTTTCATACAACAAATAATAATACATTCTACATTTAAACATGTTTTTAAAAACTCGTCGGATGTATGTCCGGTTTCACATGATGCAATTTGCATGTGTCATTTTCAATCCAAACACACCGACACCACTCTCGAGTTTTTCGCCGTATCTTACAGGTAAACTATGTAATATTACGATGGCAGGGAGATGATGTTATGCTCACTGCAGTGCTGAAGAAGTGGAGATGGAGAAATTCAAATATCACACACACGAAAATAATATTGCGACAAGGTGAAACTTTAACTTTTTCTTCTCCGGAGTTCTGCGTACACGTCACATACACCATATTATTATAGTTTATCGATTTCTACGTGTCCGATCACACGCGGTTGTCGTCGACATCATTCACTCGTCAGCATGATTACAGCTCGTTTGATCGTTTTATCCTCGGCCCTCGTAATTATCGTCCCGGGCCACGTGTTCGGTGACCAAGTGAACGATATTTCGCCCTCAAATTTTTCACCGGGTAAGTGGTTGCCGCTTTCATAATACATAATATTTTATAACGTTTAAACAGATTGTGATTTCCGGTTTAAAACGATTGGTGTTAAGACTATTTTACTTTGTTATTTTCTGGACGTACTGCAATAATAATAATCTAATAGATTCGCCCAGAGTTTGTGATTTTTTTCCATCCAAAACTTTTTCTTCTCAAAATGAAGCAACTACAGTTACAACTTGCTGGACGTTTTAAAAAAAAAGTTACAACTTTCTTACAGTAATCGCAGCCGTGATCGATCCATCGTAGTTGCACGGATTGGTTGTATTTAAATAATTTGTATATGTTGTTCGATCGATATTATATAATTTGTAGGTATATTCATTCGATGCTAACTATATAAAAAGTGTTGACGAAAAAAACAAATATGATATTGTAAATGGTTTGATACTTACCTGTGTGAATAAATATATTTAAAACATGACTGTTATCATAAAAAAAAAATTTTAGAAAAACCACACTTCAGCATGGTTCTTAACGTCTAAATAAAATGTGAACGTAAGTAATTTTTATGAACTTCCAGAGTCAAGAGATATTACGTATCCGTGCAAATGCCAAGAAAGCAAATGCAGCTGTTGTAGCGGAAATATTCTTCAAAACTTTAACCTCAACATACGGCAACGGCTGTGCACCAACATAACATATAACGCCGATGACTTTGAATTCAACGTGCGTATATTGTTCAACGACTACACCGTTTACAATAGAGATGTATCAGGTGAGTTTAAATATGATTAAATATAATATAAAAGTCGTCAGAATGTATGCTTGAGTTTATGGAATTAAATAAAGTGGGCACATTTTAAATGAATAGCTAATTCACAGGTACAGCAATGATGATAATAATTATAATAGAGATTAGGCAATATCACAAAAATATAAAATTATGAATTTATCATCATGTCTGGACGTTTGGTTAAAAATTAAAAAGAAAAAAACAATTACAATTTAATACAAATCAATCATGATCAGCATGATTAGAATGAAAACATAATTAATTAGTTAACACAAATTAAAAAGATAATATTATTTTTAAAAATGCTAATTAAATGAGTATTAGATGCATATAAATTTGCATATACGTTACCTATATCACGATAATATTTCAAATATTACTTACAAAATTACATTTTCACTCCACAACAAAGCACGTTATGCAAGTGGCAAATCGTAAGGTTTTACTTCTTTCGTATGACTTTTGTTATTTGCTTTATTTAGCTGTTTGGAAAAGTGCATTAAATATTAAAATATATGTTGATAAATTTAATCAATTCTATTTAATAGTAAAATATTGCCTCAATTATAATTGATATAAGAATAAATAATAATAATAGTTGGTAAACAAAAACGTTTGACCAAAATAGTTTTATATAATATATAAATGTGAAAATGGAAATTTTATCATGCATGTTCTCTGGAACTATTCATCCGATTATCTTGCTTTTTTTCAAATGAAAGAGTATATCGTGGAGCAGGTTTTTAAGCTTAATTTTAATTCTATATGTAACTAAAGGGTAGCTCACAAATGTATTTTTTTTTAGTCCAGAAAAAAATAATATTTTTGTTTATTTAAATGGTAGCCAATGGTAACATATTACAAAATAAAAATAAATAATTAGAAAATAATGTGTAAAAATAAATAGATATTGTATTAACTTAGGTAACAATAATTGAGTAATTATGTGGTTGTTATTATTAAAGTGGTGGCATGTTTAACTGTAAACGAAGTCCTAAAATTATGTGTAAAAATTATTTTTTTTAATTTCGCATTACCTATATGTATTTGTATATTGCACCAGATCAATGAATTATTACTATTTATTAGTATTATTAAATCAAACAGTTGCATATTTTGTATTTTTCCATTAACTAATTTTACCTACTTCAAAATATGCAATTAACTTATTATGTGATAAATTTAAATTCATAAAAATATGGTTCTAAGCCTACTAATATATTATTATATAGTTGTTTATCCTAATGTACAACCTACATATTAATTCAAGTAAACAATAGCTTATTTTTGAATATTGTTGTTTATTTATTTTTAGCACAAAATGTATTAGGTACATTTGTTTTCAATCAATACATTTTTTGTTGATTCTATAACAATTATTAATTTAGTGAAATGATTACTATCTGACTGATGTAACTATATGAAATAAAAACAAAAATATTTATAAATACTATTATTGTACACGATCTACATTATACGTGTATAATAAATACTACTATGGTTTACAGAATCAAAGTTTATTTAATTATTAATCGTTTCAAACGGAAACCCAACATATTTGATAAAATAAAATAAATTCATTAAAAGTTTGACTTTATAACGATAATATAAAATGCCACCACCACATGTCCAAGTGGCACATTTCTAAAAAGGAAATAATATTTTAATTTCTACATCAACCCTTGTCCTAAAAGGCTTTGCTGGTAGTATTAATAAAGGGGCAATTAAATTATTAATAACTTCTGATTACCAGCGATATAAACTATTGTTGACATTTAGGTATCCAATTATTTATGGTAACTACGTATGATGGAGGATTTACTTCATAATGAAACCGTTATCTTGGCCAATCACATATTTCAATTATAATGTCAAACTATTGAAGCGACAAATACACGGTTCCTATATTATTATTATCATTTATCTTTTCGACCATTAATATATCAGCCATCGCCATTGGCTCATAAATGTCACTCATTTGATGTGACCAAACATTTTTATTCGTGACTTCCCGAGCATAAACATTTTTCTTTTCTTAATGTTATAATGCCTATTAACCTATAGTGTATTCTATTATTTGCATAATTTGGTTTCTAAGTAGATTATTAGATGTCATAAATTTATAAGTAATATCCGTAAATTTATTCTGGTCTATTACGCAAAATATAGCATAAGTATAAACTCTAGTAAGATTGATTCTGAATTCCGTTCAAAAGTTAGGTCTTTATCTATGATAAACATTTGCATTGGCATTGGGTGAATAAATTGTCGGAAAATTCAATACATTTAATATTAAAAGTTTTGTTTCAGAATATTGTTAATAATTTCCATAAAAAGTATATCCAGTACAATTAATTAATAGGCATAATATCAAGTAATTGTCACCGGGTCTGAAGCAAAAATGTATTTAACAATGGTGACGCAATTGCATGTGTTTACCTTTACATAATTTAATTTAATTTCTTCTATGAAAATCGTGAGTCAATAAATTGACCAGTCTTTCGAAGATACTTAAGAGTTATTGTAATGTAATTTACTAGGTATTCGTATTTGATAGAAAATGTCCGATTATAATATTATTATAACTAGTCGTTTAAAAACAAATAATATATTTTCCGTAGTTGATCACATTTTATTTCTAAAATAATGTTTTATCATGTTAAAATATATGTTATTTTAGATGACATCTAGTTTAACCATAACAAATTAAAAATATTACAATTGTCATAACAATATATAATAAAACTATCATATACAATACAATTTTAACTCATAAAGTAAGTTTCTAAATATTAACCTGAATGAAATGAGTTATGCGTATTACAGTTTTCACGTAACCTACTTTGAGCATTTAATTTGAAATATTTTTTTCTAAGCTATATTATACATGCATCAAATTAATTTACTATGATTATTTAAACGTGCTTATAAGCTAAGTGAAATGTCTTAAATTTAACTAGGTACCACATTTATGAAAATCACTCTAGAAAGTTCATTCTGTACTACATTTACCGATTTGTTTTAATATTATTTATATCGGTGATAAAAAAGCCTATTTGCAGATACATTGCGATCACGTAAAGGCACGAGATAAATTCTAACAGGGAGAATTCAAATGCTGCTTGATTATTTTTTGGTGGAATTATTTTATAATGGTTAGCCAAGGTAGTCAGGTAGGTTAGGAAGGATATTTTACCGGAAGGAAGTGGATAACTGTCGTAATTATTTTTGATTATATTGGAATTGTCCATGCTCATAATATATTACCCTTGTACTAGGTTAAAACGACTTTTTTATAAAAAATTTTCCTTCGTGTGTGGTATGAAGCAAATTGCATAGCATCTATCCTGTACCTATTATTAAAGAGTTTATATGGGAAGCATTGAATTCCTACTATTACGTTAAATGAATGGAGTAAAATAAATAAATAATTAAATATGTATCGTAAATGTCTTAACTGTTCTCAACACTTGCCGTTATTCCAATTATATTATAACATTCCATCCGTTGTCCAATATAATATGATTGAACTTGTTCATATTTAATGAAACTCATATACCTATAGATATGAAGTGTCATGTGTGTAAGTGAAGATTGTTGGTAGGTATATCTGATTTCATGAGCATTCTGGCTAAATAATTGTTTTATCCTCCATGCCTTAGGATGGCTGGTACCGAATTGTTTCCCAAGCCTCAACTTCACATTGAACTAGAATTGGGTCTTGTTTGAAAATAGTACCCACTTTATTATAAGTTAAGTTTCCGTTTAATTACGCACATTTTCTGAACTGATCAAATTTTAGACAACGTGACCATCAAATCATTATAAAAACAGCATTCGTCGTCTTCGGGTGACAATAAAGGCAGACCGAAAAATAGTTTCTGAAGTTGTCCGATTTCTAAAGGTTCGATTATCAGCTATAGTTTTGGAACACCCCATTATAACAATTTATCGGCAGTTCGTTGTAAAGTATAGGATAGAGTGTAGGTACATTCAAATTGTATACTGTCTAGTTTATATTTTGTACATATAATTGTATACTGCAAAGAATGCTTAAAAATGATAATAGTAACTATTTGACCTGAACACAAACGGGAACCCACTCGGATACTCCCCTTTTAACTTTTGAGGAATATTAATCGTATATAAAAACACATGTTGAAATTATTTTTAAGCCTTTGTGCCTTTTTTTCTTACAAAGCAGCATAATTTCATCACTTTATTTTCGCTAGTAGCGATCAATTCGTCTGCACGACTGAAGAACCGGCATTTATTTAGACTCATATAATAACCAATCGGTCGTTGAACGTTGATTATTAATTATTACCAACACATTATTAATTACTAAATATTATTTTATACGTATTAGGTAGGAATCCGAGACCCATATGCGTGCCGATCTTCCCGCCAGCTTGGACCCGGAGCCGGGTGTGTTTGAAGTTCAGCAACGTGTACTTCGTGGGCCGCAACGTCCACGTGTGCTTGAGCTTGGAAGCACAGACCGAGAAAAAACCCGTGTTCGACGTCGACTTCAACTGCGTCCGTATGGGTACCCAGGGCGTGGCGTTGCTGAAACCAGAGGATGGAGGTGGTCTGGTACCTCCATTGCCTCAAGATCCGGCCGACGCTCAAGCGGAAGCAACGACGGCGGCGGCGGCGGCGGCAGTGGCTGTGGCCGACCCAACTTCGACGGTCGTGAAAAAAAACAAAGTCAAACCACCTCGCGTGCAGTGAGTTTGGCGAAAACTCGATTTGCATAATCCAACACAATCATAATTAATAGATAGTGTTATAATATTATTATTCCGTGTCGCATAATATTATATTATGTAATCGTGAATGCTGAAAAAATAATATTTTTATAACTGGTAAATATTTGAGTATCAGTCGAGTTGGTTCGTATCAACGTTATATGTTAATGTACTATTTATGAATATATATCGCATGTACCTATTCATATTATTACGTATATTATACGTGACAATCGTTATTTAATAAATTATTAATTAAATTATATTAGCAGTATCATTAACTACTGTTAACCGTTATTTATTATTAGTTATTACAATTTAATCCATTAGTGGGTTTCTGATGTTATTGAATTTTCAAGCTTCAACTATGCATATTTAAATAAATAGTTAAGTATATTTTATAATTTTATATAAATATTTAAGTCTTAACATTTAAAATTGTATAAGATAATAATCATATTATTTCCCATATTGTTCATTTCAATAATAATTCATTTAAATTGTCTCAGTGAATATAATTATATTTAGTTTAATAATTGAAATTTAATACAAACTAAACTTGTGAAATTGTGACGAACAATAAATCGAGGAATTACATATTTCAAGTTACTAAAAACGTTATAATTAACATTACTTAAAATTTGTTGCTCGTGTTTTGTAAAAGTTAATATCAGATACCATCGAAAATGTTGTTTCATTTTACTTTTATTATCTATGTCCTGGGTCTAAAACCAATTCCAAAATAATCTATTATCCATCTGTGTAATGTGTTATGATTATACCTACTATATTACTGTATGGCCTATTTTGTACAAGTGGGAGATATAGATAGAGATAGGTACAACCATTCCAACAAGTTTTTTATATCACAATGTTCATTACTAACCTTAATACTGATAACTTACCATAAAGCAGTTACGCGCCTAAATAATGAATATCGATTAATATTTTAAAACCACAGTAAATCTATAATAATGCAGAATTCAAGATATAGTCACAGTTGTAATGTAAAAGACATATTTAAATAACTGATTTTAATAACCAATACATCTAAATCTGTATTTATTAGTATACCTCCTCAGTTCCATCCAAATATATCGATTGCATTTTTTATTTGATCTGCAGAAACCAAATGGTTTTCCGTCGTTTCTTGATTAGGTAATTTAATTGATCACTCTGTGTAGGATCGATTGCTTAACATATACAACATGCGACAGTATAACATGTAATCTATCAATATAACACCCGTAAAATGTAACTTGTCAAACACGCACAATATATTATTATATATTATTTATAAATAAATAAACCTCTTAGGTACTTGCAAATTCAACTTGTCTGGTGCAGACAAACGGTTTGAATATATTATTATTATGTCACCGTGTTAACGGGGATTTAGGGTTCAGCGGTGTACAACAGGAAGTTATCAAATACCTGGTTATATAGCGAAGTAGAAAGACGGGTAGAAACGTTATCAGCAGAACCTAGTGCCTGCGAGAAAGGGAGAGATAAAAGGGTGTAAAATAGAATAGATACGCTGTCTGTCGATTATGGTCGACATAACAAACACCAACTGTAATATGTTTGCTCCGTTGCTCGCCAGACACTCAGGTCGAAAAACAACCCTTGTAATTCGTAGATTTATTGCAATCCATATAAAATCTTAATTTTAAAACGTACTGAATCGGCCATGTAAGACGTACCAGAGTGTTTCTTTAAAAAAATTATAATTTAAGATGGATAATCATTATTATACAATTATTGAATACATATATAATATAATGTTTAAGAGTTTAAGAATTAAGACTACATATTATTGTGATGAAAATTTGGTCAGAAGAAATCATATTCTACTGTAATATACTTCTGACATGATATTATATATGTATACTAAACAGTAATACATCAAATATTATAATATTTTTGAGTATATTTTAATATAATTAGTAAAAAAAATAAATGTATATTTGCATTAATTAATTAAAAGATATTATTTTTTAAACAGGTCATTACAACATTTATAAAATTGCATAATTTATCGATGTTCATTTGTAACAATATATTTTTAAATAAATATGTCGTCGCATAAAATTAGTTCAAAGTAAATTGTGTTTATAATAGTTATTTATTCATATTTTATAACTGTATTGTTATTTATTATCATTATCACCAGTTACAGCTACAAGGTTATTAGCTGGCTTGTAAGTTGTTATAGCTAACACATTATTTTTTATTATTATCAAAATGTAGTAATAGTTTAATGCATTCATGATTGTTTATATTGTTTTCAATATAAAATTATAGGACATTGAATTAAGCTTTCTATTTCCATACGGGTACGAAATTCACATTGTTATTATTTATTACTGAATATTGATAAAATATTAGTACGCAAAAGCTGAATACTTGTGTAATTACGTACATATTACATACAACAATTAGTGAAATGCGTCATTAAAAAAAAAAACTGGTACCTCTACAACAATACATTTAAACACAAACAGAAAATTATGACAATTATTTTTCATATTATTCAAAAATAATAATTTTATCCCTAAATACATTTTTCATTCATTTGAATTTTACAAAATGAATCCTTACCAATGTCTGGAAATTTCCCTTTCGCCCCAAGAGGTTGAAAATACACTGGTAACGTGACATATATATGATCTGGTTTGATATTTGGTACCATGTTATCATTTTTTATATTATTTTATCTAAAACGCTAATAATATTCACAGTAGGTGGCTTCTCCAAATTAAATCCTATCAATAAACCGTTCTGTAAATATTACTTATGCATCGAGCCTTGAAATTCTAACGGTTTCGATTTTGAAACAAGTTTTTTAGGTTAGACTTTTGAAAATTTGAAATTTTTATACCATCGGTTTGAGTTTGAACTATGTTTTTAAAAAAGGTAGGTTTCAGTTAAGGGTTTTTAAAAAATTATATTTTAATTCGAATTATTTTACTTTTATAAGCAGCTCATAGGAATGTAAAGAAAACTGTTGTTTTATATGATTATTACCTTTGGTCATGCCTCTATCAAAATAAGTCAAACAATATAATATTTTAAAACTTTAGTAAGAAATTATAAGTTTTATCAATAAAGTATTATAATAAGAAATATACTGAAAATATAAAATTAAATATAGGCACTCGATAGTTGACGATGGTGTTTTTAGTAGATTATGAAATTATTGAGCTGCATGAGATTTATATCATTTCTGCAATGAGATAAAATAAAAAATTACCTAAGTTTGTTCATTAAAATTAGTATTTTTTTTTCTATACTTTTTCTATATCATTTTGTTCGTGATATTTTTACTCGTTAAATAATAGCAAATGTCCTCTTGTCAATACTTGGATTTTCAATCATACTGCATTAGGTAAAAAGTTCAGTATTATTAACCAACTTAAAAATCATAACCCTTCTCGTGCTACAATGTAATATTAGTTTTTTAATTCTCTCAATTAGAAATTAGAAATTGGAAATTTTAAAAATAAAATATTATATCTATCTGGTGCAGTAAAAGTCAAAAGTTATAAGAAGGTCGTTGAAATGTATACTTCGGCCCCCCTCGCCCACGCATATACGCCAAAGATACTTGACACCACTTCAAAAGAATGTAATTATTACACTCTATTAAGATACGAGAAAACTATATCAATTATTTATATATTTGGTTTGCAGCTTACAAAGTTTCAAAGCCATGCATGCGTTATGCAATATTATATTGAAGAAGGTTATCACTTGTATTTCGCGATACAGAAATACTTTCGAATGGATTTCGAGTATAGTAAATTGGCAGATACATCATCGAACCACACTTAAAGAGACATATACGTATAATAAGTGGATCGAAACGTCGATTCTTCTTCTCCCTTCGAAGCGTTGTTTAGGTTTGATCCTTGGAAAATGCTTATTAAAATTAATTAAAATGCGTTTGGTAATAATAGTTTATATTTTACACGTTACCTGTCATATAATAGTATATCATTGCCGTTATTAAAACAAGGCTGAACAATGTATCTATATTTTTTACTCGTTTATAGTTAATACAAAAAATGTTGGTCTCGTCTAAACTCTTCTATTTTTGAACTTCTAAGAGTTATAAACTATATAGATTAAGGTATTTAGCACAGTTAAAATCCAGTTACATTTTTTTCAAATTTAATATTTATCTATCGATCTCTTGCCAAAGCACAACAAGTAAATTTGATAAAAAGTATGTAATAGGTAAGTAACTAGGTACCTATATACTATAACCAAAAACAATCATGTATAGTAAAATAATACATAAATAAAAATAAATTTAAAAAAAAAACAGAAAGGAATGCCATTCGATGAAAGAACCTTACTAAATGATGACATGAATTATTTAGATTAATTTTTGGCCAGTTTATTTTTAAGATATTGTGGCACCAGCTACGTCTCTTAAAAAGTTAAAATGAGTTATCTGGCAGTGCTATTGTTGTAAGATTTTCAATATTTATACTTTAGGTAATATTGTAGTTTTTTCTATAGAAATGCATGTATAGTTGTAATTATGTATGTTATTCTTATTTTAATACCTATTGCAATCTAGAATAAGTAATGTGTTCAACACTTTGACAATCTACAATATTAAATTCGTTATGTAACTTAGTTAAAACCTTAAAGTAACATAACTTTAAATTTTTAACTTGTTAATTCTCAAACGTAAATACCATTTACTAAATAGTTAATTAAACATATGTAAGACTTACACTATTTTTATACAAAGTATTTGTCAAAATATTTCAATCGATAAATGGGCTTGATTCATTTTTTAATAATTTGCAAATGTTCATGGTTTCGAGAAAGTTTGTGAACATTTTAACTTACAACACAGAAAAAAAAATTATGAGTGTAAATATTTTTAAAATTTTTTGATTGCAGTAAGAACAACACATAATGAGCCTTGCATTACAATTTCAAGCATATATTTGGCTCACAAACAAAAATGCGTCACGTTTGTGTTATCTTATTAGTTATTAGTCATCTAAAATATGAAGTTAGTAACTATACCAACATGGTAATTTATTTTTAGTGGATAATCGGTGGTTGATTAGAAATAATGAAGGCACAGACATTTTTTTGAAATTCATTCCTGTATTCCAAGAAACTGCATTATTTTAAAAAGTAACGCATGGAAATAATACACTTGTTTTAAAATATACCAACTCTATATTAAATCAATGATTAAACACAATATAAATGTAGTGGCTTGGTGAGGTGAGGCCGTATGCTCAATCTGAGGAAATGCTCTGAGTATACGTTACGACCTACGTTGCTAGCTCCCGGATGGGTGACCATCAGCAACACATCCTTGCCTTGCATACACAAGCACGTGTTGCAATTTTAAAAACATAAAAACCTACTAAACCTATACAAAAAAACTCCCTACAGTACCACCCCGCACCCAATGGCCTATGTTGCCGCTGGTTCCCTTTAATAAAATAAAATAAATATATTTATAATATATATATATATACATTTTAAATATTAATTTTTCTGTTCAATTATAAAACGTTGAATATAAATGATGGAAAATGAAATAGACAATCCAACCCAACGTTTACTGAATATAGTTTGTAGGTATTAAGATTTCACAATCATTACAAGAAAGTAATGACGTTTATATGAGGTAGCCCTGCATGATTAATGCACATAAACAATTTGCCAATGCACAGAATGTGACTTATTACAATGTAATATTTTATGACCATGCGCGTAATTAATTATAAAAATACAATCAGAAACTCTGAACTTGTACGGTACATGTAACTGACAAACGAATCATTGAGCATAGTGTATAATGTACTGTTTTAAAGGACGTTAAATGTAAATTTAGTGATAAAACCCGCATCTGGACAAATAGGCCTTAAGAGAGGTATACCTATATTCGCATTGTATAATACCATTGAGTGCATTGTTGTTGTAGGACATCGGACGGATCGAAAACAAAAAATAAAATCCATCAATACTACCTACCTACTTCACAAAACATTTTAAATGGATATTTTACGCGATTTCGTTGTTTTTGCTTTGCTATTGTCGTACATTGTTGTACAACATAGTTATACGTATACACATATTTGGAATTCGAGAGGTAAGTTTGTTTTACCCATTTTATTGAAACTAAAACGTGACTCAAAATCGTAATTAAAACACAAGTAGTATAAAAATCGAGTTACCTATTCCGGCTGTCCCAGAGTAGGTCTTCCAATCATAGGGTTTCTTATAGTAGAAATAATTGTGTTTTTGTCTCGATTTGTTTTATTTGATATACGAATTTGAAGTGCAATATAGTAAATTAGATAATACATTTTCATAGTTATTTTAAAACTTTTAATTTTAATTCTTAGGTGTCTAAATACATTTATGAATCTTACGTTTTAGTATTTTACAAAAGAAATTTTTTTTTTCTTTAGATTGATAAGAAAATGTCCATGTGCTCTTTATAACGAAGCGCTTCGGAAAATTTATATTTCGTAGAATGTAATATTTCATAAAATACTAACTATTTTTCAAAATATATATAAAACTTGTTAAAAAATGTTTTAATTGAAAATTATGAGTGAAGCGGAGGAAAACAGTATATGTTTTTCAAATATTAACCATATTTTTTCAACACGTTTCCGGCTTCATGTTACATTACATTTTCACTGAAATATAAAAAAACTTTTCAAGTTTCATACTACAACTATCTTAATTGAAAATAAATTGCAGACGATACTTTATTATCATAAAATTTGAATTTCTTATTTCCTGGAATATTGCAAAATTTAGTCACATGTTTATGTACAGTAGTCAACAGAACTCAGTGTGAAGTGTTATTATAATTTTTGGTATTGATTTAAAATTAGTTAAAATTCAATTAATCCATTTTAAAATGTTTGAATCATACAAAGTTGAGAGGAAAAATCTGGTAATTTATTATGGTAGATTATTAAAACATTTTTATACCTATTTAATAATATTAAAGAATTACCAAGTACAATTATGAGTGAATAATGTTATGTTTAATGAATATCGCATAGATTAGATTTTTATTAAGTGGATAAATATTTTGTTATTTTACATTCATAATATTTTTAAAAACGAATAGGATTCAACTATATTTAGTGTTCTTTAGTTTGCAGAACTAATAAATAATAAAGTTTAACTACCTATCGTAAAAAAAATGACGCATATTAAAAGTTTTTCAAATTTTAATTTATAAATATAGAGCCTTATGATGACTCCAATAAACTTAACACTTATAAAATGCATATTTATTTAGTAATATATGAAAAACAATTGTAAAAAATAATCCTACAAGTTGATAGTAATTATATTTTATAATGATTATTTGCTACACTTGCTACACTTATTCTTCTTGTAATTTAAGAAACCGATTAAAATCTTTTAATTAATAAGACAGAAAACTATTTAAAATTATTACCTCTCATAACTTTGTAACTGTACACAGTAAAATCTGTTAGATATAAAGTACCATAAAAAATTGAACACATTTATTAGTTACAAACATCAAAGAACATCAGATTTTACAGAAAAAATTAAAAAGACAATTATACATTCTAAATTATATATAACTAAAAAATATTGAATTAAAATTATTAAAATAAAATCATAACCGATAATATATTATTATTTATTTATTATTATATTTGTATATAAAACATAATCATTCATATCATCATTATTTAAAGTCAAATTGTATTATACCATGTTCAAACAATTTGATGATGTGATGACTAATGATGACCCTTTTAAAGTTGACAGTACAAGACGTACACAACTATGACAGGCACTAATTAAATATATCCAACAAATTTGTTGGTGACTCACAGGATATTGTTGGATTACTCGTTGATTTTGTTGGACTTCATTTTTGCCGATATAACTTTTTAAGTCTTGCGCTGCCAACTAAACCCTCCAACAGGACAACTTAATGTTAGCTATTTTTTTTACCTGAATATAAACCAGGTATTAACAAAATCGAAGAGTGTTATAACAATGCCCAACAAAACGAGTTCAACAGTTAGGTCTTACTCGGGAAAATATTGACTAAAATAAAGTTCTGCTGTTAGTAGCATAGACTTAAAAAAAAATTCCTGTACCTACTGTTATTAAGTAGTTAGGATTTGTTTATTTTATCAATGCATTAATATTCGCATATTTCGACTTGTATATACATGTATATATAGCTGACAACTTCAGTATGCAATTTACCTGACCTTAACTTAATCTAAAGAAAAGGAAACATTTTTATTTTTCACTTGTGAGTCTTATCTCGTACAAGAAATAAACATAAAAAAAACATTAAATACTCTCTGCACTGCACGCCAAAACCCAGTGAACCATCGATGTCTATTCTTTTAAGAGTAAATTATGATTACGCACTAAACATTGTCAGATATTCAAATCGAACGATATCCACGAAACTAAAAAACATGAAAACAGACGGTAATTTTTATATATAGTTGTCTTAAGATATTAATTCGACTCTGCGCGTAACGACGGCAAAGGTCGGGAAGAAAAATATCTATGTTCACCTATTGAGAGCGATAAATTAACCCGACAGACAACAACAGTTTATGCTTTGAATTCGGACGATATCGCATACCTAATATGATGTGAGGACCTCGTTAAAATCGCTACTGAACGGGATTCCACGAGTCAGTGTAACAAATTAATAAAAGAACCGCGAATAGCTGTGTACATACACTCTTCTGTTCTCTGACGATACCCATTCATTATAACCGTTATTTACGGTCCGCTCGGAACGAAAATGCATTATTTCTCGTGCACTATTGTACGTCGAGTCGTGTGAAATACCTTTTCCGATCGGCGGTTAACACACACCGTGTGCGTATAACAGGTCAGCCGTTAAAATTGTTTTCCGTAAGAAACGTTATCCTGCACGCTAGACGATACACAGGTAGCAATCAAATAATATTTTATGCTAAACGGATTAAAGCAGACATCGGATATTCGACCTAATTATAATATTCATGCTACCATGCATTTTATATACCTATATTATATTGTTGTGCCTGAGCGTCTGAGAAGCAGTACATTTCTAGACGGGGTAGAGATTGGTTAAGTAGCTATGCTCTAAAATGTAAGAGACGACTTAATGTTTGGATAATGCTGATGTATGTACCCCTTTAACCGGAATATGCTTTTAAAGACACTACTTGATTCTCGTTGTAGGCAATAATATGATTTTAGAGAAGAAGTTTAATGGTCGATATTCGCCCAAAATATCCATTAAAACCGTGATCTTTAAAATGTAAAATAGCGAAACAAAAAAGTTTAATGTACCTACCTATAGTACACCTATACGTGGCCATAAACCCATATATAGGTAGATACTCACGTGTAATCACTGTTGAAAAAAAAATGAGTTATTAAAAATGTTCCCTGTGGGATAACAAGTATTCTTCAATCCGAACAACTACTATAATGTTTCCTAAATCTGAATATTAACGTATTTTAAGTCCCATTACTAATCACCTATCTAATTTCAAAACAAAAGTCTAAAATACATAATAACCTCACGATTAAAAACGGACGAAATCCCAAGACATGTCATAATCTATGGACATAATATTATCGTACACGCAGGTACTACAGGATCATCAGAACATTTTGGTATTACAGTTAAGCTAGATAATTTTTCGACCGACCGATGAAGAGGCGCGAAACCGCGTGAATATCTGCCCTAGTTATGTCTAACGGAGTGTGCACGGCTTATATTATATACCGTTCGGCGAGAACGTTCCAAATACATAAAATATTTATTATGCACGGAATGATACAATAATAATAATAATAATAATGCGTTCCTACGGTGTTCGTACACCATCGCGTTTACCCGTTGAGATTTGCGCACAGGTTTATTTTTTATATTTTTTTTTCCCTCGAAATTATCGCTATAATATTATTAGCCGTCCCGGGATGAGTGGATACAGACGTAGATATGCGGGTAGGTAAAAAACACGAGTAACGTGTGTTGCACTTACAACGAAACCGGAACGGTTCGTACGCGGTATGATGGTTTTATGTACCTACACAGTACACACGCGGCATTGCAGTTAGACCCACATATAATAATATTATTATTATGTTTCGCCGTCGTTGGAGAATATGAGATTTTATACCGTGGTCGTATCGAATCTCTAGATTCCAGTAATAACGGTCATCATCGTACTGCTATCGCAGTGAGCAATTCTTCTCCTCGTTAAAATACGAAACGTGCCTTGCAGTTGAGTCTTATTTTATACCATTTATTTCGTATTTAATTCGTATTTATCTTACTAATTTAATTATTTATATTACTATGTTATAAATTATAATGTAGAGATTCCACTTTGATACGTTATATATATATATATCGTTGGGTTCTAAAAAGCTGTAGGGAAAATTTGTGATGGTTATTAGTTATTATTATCATAACATAACTTACAAAATATGCTTTACTTTGTACAGTAAAAAGTTCGTTAATTTGCTTTGTTTAGTATCAGTAACATAGAAAAGAGTATTATAATACCTATGTAGATACAATAGAATACAATGTATATTAAAATACTGTTTTATGTTTATAATTTAATCTTATTCTATTAAGTTGTATTATATCTGAGTGCGTTTATTTATCCATCACACTTTTAAAATACATAACAACTCACATTAGAATAACGTTGAAAACAGCGATTTAGTAAATTAGATTACCTATAAAATAACTTGCATTAATAAAATACACATTAAAGCAAACAAAAATGAAATATGGTATTTTTAACAAATATATGTATAATTTGTTAAAATTATTTTATTGTTATAGCAGTCAGTATAAGTAATATTAATTAAAAAATAAATATTGTGTAAGTGCGTATACTAAATAACTAGTGTACGGTTTCAGTTGACAATGACGTCCTAAACACCAGGTAATTAATTTATAATATTAATTAAATTTTAGTTTAATTTATGGCTTTTATTATTGAGAAATGAATTTTTAGTTGTGTAATCGAATCATTAACATTGCAGTTTGCGATTTGTAATACTATGAAATCGCCACCCAATATGTAACCTAAAACCTTATTAAACCATACTTAGAACAATGTTTATTTAAAATATTTTAATTTAAATTCAAATATAAAGAATCAAATTGCGTTACTATAATAATTATTACTTGAAGATTTATTTATTATTTAAGATTATATTATTATGATGTTATATTAACCAAACTATAAAAATAATATACTTTAATGTTTTAAATCTCTTTAGTAACTTTACTATTCATATTTTATTTTTAATAAACTTTTTAAAAATTAATCTAACATAAAACATAGGTGTTCTATAAATTGTTATTCTTTTATACCTATTAGAATTTATTTCATTTCAATACAATATAATAATTATGCCATAATCACTATTATTTAATAAACATAATATTTTTCTATTGACCTTTGCATAGTTTAGAGCAGTTGAAAACTATTTTTGTGTAACATATTTTGGTAATAAATATATATTTGACACCTACCAACTTATTATTTATATCAATAGTAGTAAATACTTCTTAAATATTAAAACAAATTACGTGAGAAACATTTAAAATAATGCAAAAAATAAATATTTTAAAAACAATTACGAAATACATGGATAATATATTCAACTAACATTTTAATAATGATTAAAAAATTAATATTTTAATATAAGAGACAAATTAGAAAACTTAAAACTTTCTAGAACAAGTATCAAATAAGTGTGGAATATTATTAGTTATGTACCTTTCCAGTTTTAGTTTAACAGGTCAGCAACTGCAGGCGTTTGGCTGTACATAAATTATTATTTACTGGCCACGGAAATTACGTGTGACAAGTTCACAAATTACGTTTTGATGCCTTAAAGGGGCAATGAGGACGTTTTCAAACGATTATGGCTGTAAACTCACGAACGTATACTGATGTGGCAATGTGGTATATTCCAAATTAAAGGGTTAAACAAGTAAAGCCACGAATTAGTTTAGAGTTCAAGTATTTCTAGCAAGAAAATGTCATTTTCAGTAATAAGATTAAGAGCGAGCCAATGCGGGAGAGGGGGAGTAATCTCAGTTATAAACTAAAATTTATCGCGGTGGTTGTTAATTGGGCTACATTTTATATACCTGCTTCGAATACAATATTTTTTTTAAATTTTATTACCCAGTTATTGGGCCACGAATAACATGTTTATGTGTTAAAGAGTACCTGTAGTTGGAAATGGGGCTACTGTTACGAAATATTATTAAATCGTTTGAATAAAACACAATTTACTCCAAAAATGAAGATCAAACATGAAAGTAAATTTATACAATAGTCACATAGTTTTTAATTAATAATTATTGGTCAAAATTACTATTTTTCAAAAAATTATGTGATACATATTTAAAGAATTTAAATCTGATCAGATCAGATGCAAATGGAGATTTTTTTCTATTTTTACTGCCAAAAATTATACATTCTTATTAGGATGTGACGTATAAAATAAAATATAAATAACAAATATTTTCAATAACAAAATTTGTGATATAGGTATTTATTATAAATTTTAAAAGAAAATTATAGTTCCCACTGCCCACTTGGGTCAGATTAAGTACAAAATATTCATCATAAACCAAAAAATATGTTGAATATTTTAGACTTTTACCTTTTACATTTTACAATAATCATAGCCAGTAAATTGTGTTGGTGAAAGGGAGTACTCAAAACGTTATTCAAATTACTGAGTGGTCAACAATTTAAGTATTAGCAACGTTTGGAGTGGTTTAAGTGTTTAACAACAACACACCGTGTCACTGTGAGTTGTGACTCATGGGCCGGACGGATATAGGCGTGTGTGGGGAACAAACACTAGGTATACTATGAAAGTGGAAATTCTAAACTAAAATTAATTAAACAAGATTGCACTAAATTGTGAAGACGTGACATAATTAAATTACATCTAAATATGATTCATCAGTATAAAAAGTTTGAACATTTTAATGTTCATTGACAGCAGTCGTTCCGCCCTGCACTGTAATAGAAAGTGTACCTGCATTAACCGTGTACTTCGTATATGACGTATTTACACGACATTTTGTACTTTTTAGTAGTTATTGTTGCGACACTCGGTAAATATTATAACCCGATTTTGAAGTTTAGATCTCGTGGGGTTTCTTGTACGAATGCATTCCAGAATCCGAGGTATCCGAGCTGCATGTTGTAGGCCTTGTAACCTCTCTTGCTACCTATAACACACCATCTCATACTGGGAGTCAAGGACAATTCACATGGTACACAATATCTATCTGTAATTGAGTATCGCTCATTTGCGCCAAAAAACATGAATTCGTTTTTGATACACCCTATTTGAGCCGAAATAAAAAAGGTACGTTTTCTCCAACAGTCCATTTGCACCAAGTTGACCAGTGTAAACATTTACATTAACGACTTCAAGTTCAATTCATATATTTTAAAGACGCCACAAAAATTTTTAAAAAATTTTAAATACGCAACGATATTAAATTTTGATTTTATTACATTTTTTTAAATCATAATAACCCAGCCTAAGAAGTATATACCAATATATTATACGTGAACATCGTCTACAACCATCTTTTCCCCTCTTTTGCTTGTCGTACATTCCATTTTTATTAACTATACCAATTGAAATAGACAAAATTTAGACGAAAATATTACGTACCTACCTATGTAGTGTAACTTAACAACTAAAGTCCGATAAAATCACACTGCGATCATTGTTATTCGATGATTTTACGAATAACGATATCCGATAACAGAGTACCTATTACATATCGTAAAACATAATAAAACTTGTTTTCAGTCTGCCTAAGCAATAATATACAAAATTTTAAAATCTATAGATTTATGAAAATAACTAAATAACTAATAAATATGAATTACAAATGTTATAGCGTAGGTATATCGTGTCTTTTAAATATATGAACTAAACCAAGAAGTCATTATTGAAAATGTTTACACAGATAAATTTGGAGCAAATTGACTGTCGGAAAAACGTATCTTCTTTTATTTTGGCGCAAATAGGATGTACCCAAAATTAATTCATTTTTTTTTTACGCAAATGGGTAATTCCCCTGTAATTACAATCAAATTATCGTAATTGACTGGCTGCAGCGGTTGTTTTGAAAAGGTCTTTCATTCGATAACCCTACACATGAAGAGTTTACGGTTTTAATTTTGAATTTTATTACTTTCATAACAATATAACATATAACCCACAGCACGTCGTTTTGGTTATTTCAGAGATTATATTGTCAGTGTCAGGATTCTGAACTACTAGAGAACGATTGACGTTTGATTTGTGAATATTAATTGAAATCAGTCAGAAAATAGAAGAACATAGAAACCACGACACTTTACACTATAAACATAATGATTTATCATCCAATATTATCCATTATTATTCATTACAACTATTATAATATACTATTAAATAATATACCTAACCAATTAAAGTTCTTGGAATTCGTAAATATGTACACTAGAAAAATAACGGTTTAGAATAATTAAAAGGAAAAATAATAGTTCACAAGAACAAAACGGCAATTAGTATAAAAGCCACAAATAAAATAATGACCAAACAGTTGTGTCTTGTTATAAATTATTATCGTGATAGATATATTTCTTTCTCCTAATATATAGAATACGAACTTGTTTTCAAAATTATCTAATTATGCTTACCCAAAAGCTACCTTTAAAACGTTAAGAATTTTTAGAATATTTTTCACAGTTATACATATTAAAGTGATTAATGATTAATAAATAATTATACTCAAATGCTTCATATCCCTTTATTATTATAGGTACCCCAATGACCCATCACGTATTGAAATCAAAACAATTTAAAAAATCAATCTCAACTACATTAAACAATTAATTAATGATCATGAATTTTCTAGTTACAGGTACAGACCATAAATGGTACGACATATATTATGATGCGATAACAAGTAGAAAGATACCGATAGTTCAAAGGTTTGGGGATCGAAAAGATGAACCAAGTACTGCACGATTTGGGAGTATACCATGTTCATGCCAAGATATGACGTGTGGTTGTTGTGCACAGTTCAACGTACGATTTTTCAAATACAATAAAAAAGGTTTATTTAATTGATTAACACATTTATTTTTATTTTACACACAAAGAATACGAAGCGAGGTGGGTAAACACTACCCAGCAGAAATACATATTATCAAAAATTAAAAAAAAAAATTTGTTTAGTACATCGTATGGGAATGTTTTGCGCGTTTCCAAATACGATGGTAATATTGTATAGTTACAATGTAACTGTAGTAAAAGCGTAGGCGCAATTTGAGGGGAGGCTTGTTTGTGCTTAGCACCTTCAAATTTGTTCATGTTAATTCATATATGAATAGTCATTATGTGGATATCCGTAACCATAAGATAATATAAAAAAAATATAGAAGCAGCACACCAAGTTTATCATGGACATTGCGCCCATGAATATAATTACTGTATTTAAAATTTAACGATTTTCTGCATTTTCCAACTACTATAATTTAAAAACTATAGAATATTATATATTATGCACCAACAATCTATATGTCGAGTAGTACAACCTTCATCAGTGTGATAATATGAAAAATGTAATTAAAATAGTTCTACCTTTGTATTAACGTACACACGTTGGAAATTATATTTGTATATGTTGCAGTAACACATTATTAATTTTGTTTTTTGTATACCTAACGGTCAACATATGTTATGAAATTAAAACTAAGATAAATAAGTATAAACATTAAACAAGTCATTTGAAAAAAACACACTATTGAAATACAAATTCACATAGAATATAATATCTCATATTCATACTGCTGAAGCCTGAAAACTTCCATAAATTGTTCAGAACCATCTGACATTTTAACTATATGTGTGTTATACTTGCAACTGTATTTATGACTTCTTTAATACGCCCGAGTATTTCACTTCACTAAAATATAAATTATGATACTAAATTTTATCTTTTATTTCCCACGACAACAAAAAAACATTGAGGATTTTCATTTTAGTGGTTTTATAATAATCTAACCACCATAATTGTTATTTATTACCAAACATTTATCATTTAAATTATAATATACTTAGGTAGGTATGTCTTATTATTTTATAGTCAGCTAGTCTTATATCATGATATAAAATTATACAATAAATTAATACGATTCTTTTTATTTTTTACTTCACTAATATTTTGATACACGTCAACTTTTTAGTTTTACTACTCAGTATAAACTCAGCACCACCTAAAAAAATTATTTAAATCAAGAATAAATATGATGTACGATCAATAACCAAGCTTAACTTAATCAAATAATATGAACAATGTAAATTTGCTATGAACATTTCACATTTTATAATCAAACATTCTGAAAACAATCAACAATTAAAAGTATTATTAACACAATTAAAACCCGATAATATAGCCAAATGATTTACGAACATATAAACAGCAGTATCACACTTAGATGAACTATGTTGTTTAATAATATGTCTCCTAACACAAAACAAAAAATACAAGCAGCCTGTAATTTATTGTGTGCAGCCAACTCTGGGGCGTAAAACAATATTCAATTCAAAACACAATGCGTAGCTTTGAACTTTGAAGTAGTTATTGACACCGTTTATACACTTCACAGAGTAGGTACATTATAAAAATCGCATTTAAAAATAAATATGATTATTATGATGTCAATATTAATCAGTTCATGTCTACAGTCAAACCGAATACTTTTATTTAATTGACCGTGATGGAACGTTTAAAGTGTACGTGACATGATTATCGATAATTATTGCCGGTCATTGACGGTTGACCAAGTTTGACAACTATAGAAGAATGGAGAAAGTTTGGTCAACTGTTTCGAAGAAAATTATATTGCCAACAAGTACACATAGTTTTGTTTTCTTACATTCTGAAGTATTCCATTTTGTTTGTATAGGTATATATTCCTTCAATTTAGTCTCACAATACATATACATTTATCTTCTAATCATTTTTATAAGCAATAAACTATTTTTTTGTATTTCAATAAATGCACGAAGATAGATGTGTTAGGTAAGTTAGTGTATGCATGCCATATAAAATAAAACACCTAGGTGATACAGGAAAAAATTTATTTCCATACAACAATAACATAATTTATTCGATTTTAACATTAAAATCAGTATTACTTTAAAATAATACGATTTATTTACTATTAAATATTAAATGTACGACATTAATGTCGTAATAACACAAAAGGTATATTACATTATACACTATACTTTATGTAGGTATAATTTACATATACATTTTAAGTTGGTAATTAGAATTATATGTGTTCTATGTCATATAACGTAGAAAAATAACCTAAATAGATTTTTTGGACTGAAATTCATTTGAAAAAAAATTTTAATTATTTTTTTTTTTTTTTTTATTAAGAATAAGGCTTCGACATCAGAGGTCATTAGCCTGACTATTTTATTTTATCATTAAAAACAAGTTAAATAAATCTTATTTTTACTTAGAACATTATATAATACTAAATAAATTCTAGACCTAATTATGTCAATAATATAAACGTAAATTTTTCTCTCTCTCTGATACAAATAATTAAACATTTAATAAGGATTACTCACACAAAGAAAACTTAAACTTCAAGACCAGCATAAAATCTTGTTATTAAAAAATAAAAATAAAAATGTTTCTTAAATGAAGAAATATAGCCACAATTAACGTGCATTCATAAATCAAATTTAACATAAGCCTCTTTTTATTTTTCTAATACTTGGCAGAACTTAAATTTTAAATGTAATTATAGGTAATTAAAAAAAAATCACATTTTGATATTAGTTAGGTATTATAATGACGTGTACTAACATATTATTTCAGAAGTCGTTTGTTTAGATATAATACTTCAAAAATCCTAAACTTTTTTTTAAAATTTAATTAAAATCGTGTTAAATTTGTAAATTACATTGTAATCTGGAGAAGTCAATGGACAATGAGTAATGACGGGTTTTGGCCAATCTCATTACACGTCTCTTGTCGGCAATGGAAGAATAACTACTGTTAGTTTTTCTTTTACAATGTTAACTATTATTATGAGAATGAAATATGTATATATAATGTATCCTGCAGCGAGGTTTTTGGTAAGATTGTAATTTAAAAAAACAAATAAATAAGTAAAGGCCAACCAACTGCCGCCGTGGCTCGCAGGCAAACAAGGATACTAATTGAATGTGACAGCGGGATGAAGAAATATCGTCCTTGTAATCTCAGTTTTATTAACTTCGTACATGGTCCCGTACTTAACGCGTAGTAAACCATGGTACATTTTATGTTTGGCTCCCCAAGATACACGCAAAGCCCGGAATTAATATAACCTAGAACCCAGTAAATTAGAGACGCCAAAAATCAGATCAATATAAAATACCGACGCACTGGTTTATTTTTATGCGCAGGATGTATGAATTTCACGTACGACCCTTATGACTTTGCAGTCACTGGTAACATGTTTATGGACGACGAGTCACTGTACGAGTACAAGATATCTGGTATGTATTATTCACTGAATATATTAATTTTATACTTGTAGTATAATTATTATTACTCCTAGTCTCCAATTGTCCAATAACACATTATTACAATCGACATGCTCAAAATGCTCTCTGTCGTGATTATAATTATACCTTTCAACAACAGTTTCGATGATTTATATTAAAATCCAAAAATTCCAATTGTCAAACTTAATACCAAATACAGACTTTCGGGAGTGAAAATTAATATAACTTTGACTAGGAACACACAAACATTGATGAAGCTGCAGCTTGAAAATTGAATTGACGTACACATTCGTTAAACTTCAACAATACAAACATTCAGGCAACTTGAACTCATCCTAAACAGCATTGTACATTTGGAACAAAGTACCTACCTACACTACGATACTCTATTATTTACCTACATTAAAAGGAATGAACTCATAAAAGTTGAATATTTTTACCTGAACCGCCGACACTAACCCCTCCCCCCATTTTTTTTGAAAAATTTCGTTATTTAATTATATTATACTATTTATTATATAATATGAAATTATTTTTTTTCTATCGTTTAATTTTGTCTTAATACAGAATAAATGTCCAAATACTTTCATAAATATAATAAATTATAGACTTTTATTTTTGATCATTGTCTTCTTGAAACAATATAAATTGCTATAAAAAAAATAATAAATAATGTTTTAAACAAATATTAAAATACATCGTATCTATACTTGGCACAGAAAAAAAAAATTATGTGAATATATAGTTTTTAATACCTAAATATGCATAATAGCTAATACAAATATTTGGATTTCTGTCTTTAGACAAAATTAGACATTAGACAAAAAAATTAATTAAATTTAAATAAAAAATAATATTAACTTGTAGTATCTATAATGAACTTTTAAAAGTAGATATGGGGAAAAAGTCCATATCAAATATGTATTGGGGAAAGATGTCCACCTACACCGAAAACAGTTGAGGGGGATGTCCATTTACCTTCTTACCTATCGTAATAATAAAACATTAAATATTTTTACATCAATTTTCTTCTTTTTTAGGCTACTATTAATATTGCTAAGATTTACCAAATAGTCCAAACAAGTAGTACTGAATTTAGGGTTATATTAATTTACGTAGGCCACCGGAGAAGGGCGCAGTTTCACCAGAGAACCAAATTTTTAATGTGAATTTATTTACCAACGTTTTTGCAAGATTTAATTTTTATTAGATAGAGTGATTATTATTAGTTAATTTTATTTGAGGTAGGCAAGTTACTATGAAAATATAAAACTATAAAGACCGACTTCATAAAATTTGCCTCCAAGGGTCCATTTTTTTAACATGGCACTAACTGGCAATTTAGTGAAAGTCAAGATTAAATTATTGATGGTAATTGTTGAATTAAAATGATACAACTCTATAAGTTTTCTGAGAATATTCTTAAATGCATAATTATTTATTGATTCTTGAATATTGATATCGCACAAATATACTTATTTTATTTACTAATATTAAATTTAAAAGTCAATAAAAAATAACCTATTCCTCTACTTTACTTATTTAGGTCATTAATATATTTTATTATATACTTACGTATATTTATTTGTGAATTCTGATAATTTCATTAATACACCTGTTGAATAATTGTGTTGCTAAAAAAATAAGCCATCACGTCGTATGGTGTTTGCGAAATAATTCATTGTCCTGATATAAAGCGGTAAAGTATTAATGTATTATTACAACCTCTACCACAAGCCTACTGCTATAATAACAGTACTCGAATTGGTGGTGATGTGGAGGGACTGAGTAGGTACCTAATTTTTGCAGATATTGGCGTGACCCTAATACATTTTTTTTGAAGTGAAACGTTCTTCTTTTTGAACTTTTTGTCCATCATCAAATGCACGAGAAACTTACATGCACCGCGATACCTTATGAACTGTTATATTATTATTTCATTAATAATAGTGATTTACAAAAAAAAAAGTATGCTTTCGAACAGCTGATTTACCGATATGCCTCGGTAATAATACTAATGACTGCGGTTTTGATAATAGTTCTATCACTTTTTTATATTTCACTATGAATAGAGTAGGTATGAATTAAGGTAGTAATATCTAAATTAATTATTTTAGTATATAAATAATCAAAGTGAAAGTAAGTAGAGGCTACTCGCACTATAGTCAGGAACTTATTTAAATTAAAAGTAATAAAGATATACCTAATTTTAAAATGCTGAAGTATAAAGTTAGGTAGCATTCAAGTACAGCGAGATACTGAAAGTGACGGAAATGCGTTTTTTAATTCCCCTACTTTTATTATCCTATTCTACTAGACAGGGAATAATAGCAAAAAACATGAGTCACGCCTAATGATTCACACAGTGTATCAAACGTATCATTATTATTATTTATTTATACATGTGTACGATATACAATAAAATTAATATTAAATAATTCAATAATTGCAATCGTAAGGCATTAGTATCAACTGCAACACTAAAATATACTTTTATTGCTGTTATCTTGGATGGACATTATATAATTACTGAAAATGCATTTACACTGTGTGTTAGTATGTGTGGTTATGTCTTTAGATCAGTACAATCGTCAATCGTATTCTGTTTTCATCGTGTATGCATCGAGTCGCATAATAACTATCAGTAATATATTTGCTTTGAGCAAAAAAATCTAAGTAGCATATTATAGGTACATCATACTATAATGAATTATCGTAATTCAACAACCTCTAACCGTGAAGCTTAACTCCGATTTCGTCGAAAAGTGTTAAAAGGTGAACTTACATACTATCCCAACGACCTTACTTTACTTTTGACGAGCAATGAGTGTGTGGAAAGCTCAACAACATATAGAAGGCGTTTTTCGATTACTCGTACGGATGGTAGTTTGGGGGAGCAGGGTGAGATGTATAGAATATTGTATTTTTTCGCAAAGCCTACATCACTGCGAGATATTGTTATGATATGGCTCGTAATGCTGTTACTAAACACAGACACACAGTTCTCAGCTAGTAGTACCTAGGGTCTATGATAATCCCTAACCTAACTTTACCTGCCAGGCCTTGATCAGCACTATAATATAATTGAGGTGCATCCGGTACACTTACCGCTATGTGCACCAATACACTTAACACGTCTTCACTATAACCCACAGTTTTGGTTTTTTTTTTTTTTTTATCTGTACAGCTAAAAACCCGCAGTAACTGCAGTGCATCCGGTACGCTTACCACTATGTGTACAAATACATTTTACACGTCTTCGCTGACTCACAGTTTTCGTTTTTGTTTTTTTTTTTGTTTTTACTACTTCCATAGCTAAAAATCCACCGCCGGCATGTCTGCGAGTTCCCGTGCCGTACTTACCGTCGATGGACATGTGCATGAAAATGTTCGACATCTACACGCCCGGCAGAAACTTGCACGCGTGCGTCAATTTCGTCACGCGCCTCGAACATGCCGAAGTGCTCGTGCTGGAATTCGACTGTTTCGTGGTCGGTCGAGACGGCGTGAAAATGCACAAGTACAACACGACGTCGTCCACGACCGCCACTGACGTCGCCACTGGCACCGCTGACGACGATACTACCACTTCCACCACGACTTCGGCTACCACTACGACAGTGCAGACGTACGACACGACGGCACCCGACCTGGACATCACTGTCTCGGAGGTGATCGCCCCCACTGATGAGTACCTAGCGGTAAACGCGACCGACAAAAACATCACGGAAATAATATAATAATAACGAATATTATAATTGTATATTTTTTTGCAATTTATTTGGTTTTATTCATACTCATATTGTTATAATAACGAAAACGCGCAATCGGTGTAATGCGATATTATGAGCTACAGGAAATAATAATCCAAAAAAAAAAAAGCACAAAACATAATATTATGTATAACCGACGTACAACACTCGAAACGCAAATAAACATATTATATTATAGTTTTTTCACGATATGATTTCATCGAATAATAAATTAATAAATTAAATAATAAGTTATGTAGTATATATTATTTACAACTTAACGGAAAATGAAACGTGTGTAATTCACGCCATTCGTGAGCAATGGTCTCTACACTTTCTTCATGAAATGTATCGTCGATTCGTCGTCGTCCGACGAGGACAGCCTCATCCTTCTGTGGGTCCTGCCCCGCCTGTCGTTGGGCACGATGGCCACGGGCATGTGATGCTTGAAACGCCTGCTGAAGCTGTCGTCATCGTCGTCATCGTCGTCGTCGTCGTAGTCCTTGGCTGCCGGCACGCTGCCGACCGTCGTGGCCGTATCAGCCGACACTGCGGCCACCTCGGTGGTCGCTAGTCTGTCGGCCGACTTGGTCGTGGCCACCGTCGAGTTCTTGTCGGTATCCGACATGCCCACGGCGCTCGCGGCCGTCTCGATGATGTCCGACACGATGTCACCTTCGTCCTCGTCCTCGTCCTCGTCGTCGTCGTCCTCGTAGTCCTTGTTCTTGTTCGTCACCGGCGAGGGAACGGTCTCTACGCGATCGGTCGGGTTGTCGTCGAGCGGCGTGACGGCAGTCGGTCTCACATCAGCGATGATTTCGGAAGACGACGACACCGGGTCTTGAACGACGCTCACTGTGTACGAGGTGGACGTCACCGATTCAGCGCTAGTTTGTTTCTCGCTCGTCACCTGTTGGCTTGTCAGCTGTTGCGGTGTGGTTATTTTTGATTTTACCGTAACCGCGACGGGTTTCGCCGTCGGCTTGACACTGGTATCCGTTTCGTCTTCTTCGGCCCCGCCACCGCCGAACAGGCTGTCCAGAAAATCGGTGCTCAGTGCACTGAAACCAGTGTAATCGCCCGTCGATTCCACGTCGTTTTCTGCGTCCTCGTCCACGGTGTCGTCGTCCTCCTCTTCCTCGTCATCACCACCTCCGAGACCGTAATCGTCATCGTCGTCGTCGTCGTCATCGTCCTCGTCGTCTTCGTCCTCCCCTTGTAATGTCTGCGACGCCGGCAGTGGCTGAGCAGGTTCCACTTTCATCCCTTGTGGCCCAAATCGGAAACATGACACCCTCAATGCGGCTTCGACGTCGTCGAGAGCCCTAAGCTCAAGCCCCAATCACGCTTTGAACTGATCCCCGTCTCTTGAGATACCGTACACCCGACCACAGAATTTTGATATACCACCTGGGAGAGACATACACACGGGTTTTGGTTTCTTCCCGGATATGGTCGTGTTGCGTAAAACCTTGTCCCCAAAGCTCATCGTCACCATCATCTGATCACCTTTCAAATATTTCAACGATGCGCAACCTATTATGTAAACACAGAGTGACGTGTTTAGTTTAAAATACATGTATGTTTCATACAATATAATATTATGGTTTTAGTAGAGTTAATCTTCAATTTGGATTTATATTGAAATATGGAGGAATAAAATAAACATTTAATGAATTATATTATGAACTTTTATGTGAGATTATTACGTATAACATTAACTCATACAAATTACCAATTGTGTGTTCGTCATGTTTTATTTTTGATGACGCGGTTTTATTTTATATAAATAATACGCGGCTAATGTCCTATATAATAAATAACACTTGGTATTTTAATACAATTTAATTTATTTGATTATTCCTATTTCAACGAAAAAACGGAACCTCGAGCTTAGGACCATGTGGTCTGATACTAGGTAACCACTATAGTTCTGGTACGTCCATAAAGGTTAATTATAATATGTATTATTGAACTTTTTGAATTACTTATTTAGTATTTTTAAATCTATTTACCTGGTCCTTTAATGGGAACTACCGGCAGTGAAAAATCTCTGCAACAATTACACATAAGATTGGAACAAGCGCAGTATCGGTTGGGAGGAGCTGCTTGAGGAGTAGCTTGTCTAGCTCGACCCATTGCTCTCAAATGATCTTTAACGTTATTTAATCCAGTATTCCACACATCTTTATTTTCCGGAACTAAAAAAAAAAAAAAATCATAATACGTTGTTGAGAATAGATTTACAATGCCCGAAACTTACCTACTCTACCGTAGGCCGCAAACGCTATGATCAAAAAGATCAACAGCAATTCGAATACGACTGATAGTCGCATTTTTATATAAATCGCTGACCAATTTAAAAAAAACTGTAACAAAACAAAAAATGTAAGTATCGTGTAACGCATATAGGTATAAAATTCAAATGTCTAACTTTCTTTTGACTAAAATATAATAACAGTTGGTTAGAAAATGGTGAAAGGTTCATGTGTATCATCAGAATTCCGAACTGACCTTGTCCTTAAAAAGAGAAATTCTCTTTCCGTCACCCAGAACGAGTTTTTCACCTCAGTATTATACCGTAAAAATACATTTTAATAATAGTCATTATTATCAATAATCATTTAACTATGCGTGTAATTTCAATACCATTGTATAGATTAGTTTTACACTCGACGGAGAAATTTACATAGGACAATATTTTAGAAAATATGGATTTTATAGAAGACAATTAATTATTTATGGGTTTATATTTTATATTAGATTAAATTAAAAATATGTGTCATTCAAAAAACAGTCAAACTGTATTCGAATATAAAAAAAAGAATTTTGTATAATTTCATAATTGATGATATAGTAAGCATGCATTTCATTGAATTCGATTTTGTCCCAATGTACATTAAAATAAATACCATTTTTTGTTATTTTTTATCTCTTAGATAACTTTGTTATAATGATGATTAAAAAAAACCTTTATAGTTTTATTTGATCCGCTCTTTATAAAACAACTTTTGTTTCTGTACTATCATAATTATTAATCCTTTGAGTTTTAAATTAAATATTGATACAAAAAAATACAAATATATTTTATTAATGTTCTTGTATCCTATGAATTGAATACAAATTATTAATTATTAATAAGCGAAGCTTACTATTTGTTTGATATAAAAACAAATACTAAAATGATACAAACAAACTTTATATCTAACTATCATAGTTTTTAGTTGTATACGATACATAGAATGTAATTTTAAATAATATCAAAATCCCATGCATAGTTTTAAAAGACTTCAAGAGTTTTTATAATAATAAAAAGAAATAGATAAATTTGAAACTTTAAAACTTTAAAACTTAAACTTTTTAACAAAGCATATTAAATATTAATTTAATTTTTCAATAATTCGGTGTAATTACGATTGTTTAATTCAATTTACTTGACACTAGTATTATGATTAGTTTTCCACTAAGTTTTTTACCTATAATGGTATTTCTTCAGCCAATCAACGCTTTTTAGATGTATATATTTTTGTATGATTTATTAAATCAATGTAAATGAAGCTTATTCTGTTAAGTGATAAAAATAGTTATTAATAGAATCCCATATTTTTAAGATAAGTGTTATCTTTATGTAGATATAACACATTAACAATCAAATATTTTAACTTTAATATTACTGCATAGGTACTTATAATGTATTGGAAACTAAATTAATTTAGTATCAACAGAATCCTCACTGCAAGGATTAAAAATTAAATTAAATAATCAAATTGATACCTATGTGTATCCTATATGCTATATATTGCCATATTGGTGTGTTAAAACATGATGCTTCATTTCAAAATGTTGAAATGTTATTTTATTCAACTAACATAGTCGTCCTGTCTTTAAGAAAACATTGACTGATTACTTTTTCTAACTTCATTTTATTTAAAAAGTGTATAGGTAATGTCAAAAAACTTACAATAACTCTATTCAGTAACCTACATCATTCTATGTCACGTCAATAGACGCGTTCAGTGTTCACAAACATGAAATATCTAAAATGTATAGAGACCCTTGGTTTTCTTTTCAAAAAAGAAAATTTTAAAAATACACAAAAAAAGAAACCCGAAAGATTATCTAAAAGGCACTCCCGTAAAATTATGAATCACGTTGAACTTTCTAAAGCCCACTCTCGCCGGTGGTCGCTCACTCTCTTTTCGAGAAAACGTAACCCGCTCGTTTCCTGGAGGCGTAAAGCCCGAAGTTACTTGCGAAGTCAAAATAAATATTTAAAAAAAATAAAATAGATATTCTAATGGTAATGATGATAATAAGAATAATAATAATAATAATAATAATAATAATAATAATAATAATAATAAAAGCAAGAATAGAAGAAAAAAACACGTACCTTTGGTACTGTATTCCGGCGAAGAAACACGTCTAGTAAGGTACACGCTGGATGAAAAACCGCCTTGAACTCGTCTCTCGTGGTAGGAACTAAACTGTGACGGGTCCGGTGGAATTACCACGGCCGCCGTTCTTGTTCCGGGCTAACAACCGGGTCAGGTATGTGTGTCAGCGCGGAGACGAGATAGTGTTCCCCACTAAAAAAACCCACTCTCGTTCCGGGACGATTTTCCTTTCGCGCGCGTCTAACACAACCTGTACGCGACCTCAACGGCGGCACCACTGACCGTTTTACGTGTCGCCTCGACTACCCTTTTGGAATATAAAAAAAAATAAACGGAAACAAAAAAATGCCGCCGTCTCCGAGCGATGCACAGAAAAACGGAAAATACCATGTGTCTAACCGGTCGTCGATATTTTTACTACCGACGCCGCGGCTATTCGGCGAGTCCTCCCTCCCCCCCCCCCGGATTCATCCCACCACAAAAAACACATAAACTGCACACACGCGCACGAGATATAATTAGGTATCTAAAGTGACCGACATACAACTATACGGATTACAAAAGCTCGGGATAGATGCGGACTCATCAGCTTTTTTATTTTTGCTATCGAATTAAATAAGAAGCCGAAACGATAGTTATCACGGTGTGGTAAGAGCCTCCTCTGCACAACCGTTCAACTGGTTCATACCGTGCCAGTGGTATCGTTATGTATAGATATATCGTTGCAAACGCGGGTGGATTCTAGATTGAATTTTAAGGAGGGGAGATAAAATCTTCGTACTCAAAATTACTCAATTATTTAACAGCATACAATTATTATTATTTTGTTTTAATTTTAGTACCTCTGAATGTTTTTGGAGTGCTGAGTCCTCCCCCCCCCCTTATACCTAAGTACCATCTATGCACATATTATAAGTATTGCGCAGTGTAAAGGCAATTTTATATGATATAGATACTTTACGTATCATTGACGTGCTCACGGGGTATATGCAAGGTATGCACTTGAGTGCTCCGCTGGTATTGCGGTCTGGGGACGGACACGTTTTTGAGATGACATATATGATCAAATTCCCAAAATAACAATTTATAGAAGAATAAAAATAACAAATATGTAGGTACGGTCGATATTTACGTCTTAATTATGCAACAAGAATTATGAAATTTTATCCTTTTCAATAAACACTTGTTTATTGTTTTGTTAGGTCAAGCTAGGTAAGTACGCCAGTAGGTCTGTATAATATGTATTTATACATGTTTTTATTTTTCAAAATGTTGAAAACCTTAATATTTTCTAACAAGAAGCAGTGTAACGATAATAATAATCGTAAACAATTTTAAGGCAACGGGGTTTGAGCTATTTTACTTGGGCGCATTTATATTTTTGGGGAGCACATAAAGTGATCAGCTAGATGAGCTACGACCCCGGTGCCTCTACCAAAGTCTGCGCACGTCTATACAGCATTATATTATTTTAGATAATAATATTATAATAATAGGCGTGTCGTACAGTTCTCGTCGTGGCTATATAATATGTAAATATAATGATAATATATATTATATACCATTCGAGTACACGGGGAAAGTCGAGGTGGTCTCCGGTCGGGTGTACGTAGAAAGCGAGGCGGGCGTAGCCGCGCGGGCGTCCGCGAGAAAGCGAAATTTTTAGTCGATGCACTCGCTCCGTGTAATACGTACACGTCCATTGTTGTTGTCGCCGCCGCCGCCGCCGCCGCCGCCGCTGCAACCACCGTCGCGTGCGCGGAGGACCTGCCGCCGCCGCCGCCGTCATCTCGTCTCATACCTGAAAAGAAAGTGGTAAACCGGTGGGGGAAGCAATAGTGGGTGACCCGTTGACCCGCTGCGGGTATAGTATCGTTTAGCGACCGCCGCCGCAGACAGAACGGGATCGACTGCGTGTTGGACGTGTATTTTTTTTTTATCGTTGTTTTTGTTGTTGTTGTTGTTGTTATTGTTGTTGTCGTCGTTGTCGTTGCCGTTGTGCTGGTTGCAGTTGCATATTCATCACAGTAATCATCATCACCGTATCGTAATATTGTTATCGTCTCGTCGCCGTGTGCATATAATAACATAATATACCAATAACGTCGTATACGCACCAGTCGTGATGGAACACCGTCGTCCAACAAGTACGTGGTGGTGCGCTTTGGCCGCGATGGCGTGCACCGTCGCAGCGTGTTCGGGCGCCAGCGTACCGCCGCCGCCGTCGTCTACCGTTACGGGTGAGTGAGGGCGAGGCGAAAACAAAATGTCGCGTTTAGACGCGACGACGTGACTTTGTGCGGAAAGAGAGCGAGAGAGAGAAAATCGCACCACGAATAACAATACCCAATAATAACAATAATATTATATCTGTGATCTTCGGTGGTTTTTGTTTTCGTTTGTTTTTGGGCCGCCCGTTGCAGACCTGCTGTGGACCGGACTGGAAGGCGTCATCCAGCAGAGGAGCGGGCTCAAAGCCGAGGCGAAACAAGTGCCGGAAAAACGGTGCGAGTGCCAAAGCCCGGAGCTCAAGTCGTGCGTGTGCTGCCTGAGAATGAGTCTGCCGTTCCTGGACTTGACCACTTCTCCGGGTGAGTACCGATGCAGTTGGTGCTGATATTTATTTTATCGCGTCCACGGCCGTCGATATGATATTAATATTTTGTACTCCGTGACATAATAATATATTACTATTACTAGTGCACCGCATGATATTATGACCGCACTTTGTGATATATTTTATGATACGACGACATTATAATGTTATCGTCGACGCGGTCTTGCGCGCGGCAACAGTTTTTCCGATTTATTATTTTTTTTTTCTTTTTCATGACCACGGTCGTTGTGTGCGTTTCTTTTACTTTCTTTGCACAGGGTGTGTCAAGTTCAAGTACGTGCCGGACATCGAGTCGATAGCCGTGAACGTGACTTACGGTAAAGGCAACGTCCAGAACGGTGTCATCAAGGGTAAGCCAATTTTTTATTGTATCCATTTGCCGTGATATTGGATTGTTAATGATAATAATATTTTATTGTCATAATGCCGTCGATGTGACGATGTACAATCGCATTAAGTCCACACGTTACGTATTATTATAGGTACATAGGTAATTACATGGTATTATAACCTTCTAACCGGTACGTGACTCGTCTTTTGGGCCAAATCGTATATAATTATCGGGGCTATAGAGTACTTACCTTAAAAAAAAGTATGCAATTATCCACAAAAACTGACAAAATATGCATCGAAATATGTCTTAAAAAATTCAGAAATATGTATTGATATGCTCTTAAAATATGCAGATTGAAAAAAGAAAAAATTATTAGTCATTTTTGGAATAACAAAAAATGTACATTCATATTTGTACATTTTATATTTTATTTGTTGTAGTTGTGGTAATTCCGAAAAATAAATTTAAAAATATCCATTAATAATCTAATAGAATAAACATCCTGTCAATCCAGTCCAGTCCAGTCAGTCAATTGTTCATTTAAAATTTTAAAACCGATATATTAAACAATACAGAATACTTAATTAAATAATTTATATTTACCTTTTTTTTTTCGTGTTTAACTGACCGCAAAGGAGAATCTGTTTTAACTATACTACTCCTCTACTGCCGTCGTCTAAATTTATATTTACCTAAGCAATTGCATTGTACAATAAACATTTTTTTAATGTTGTCACGCTTGAATGAACGGTGGTTAGGTGTGACTGAATTGACGTGCATTGAAAATGATCTTTCAGCGTCAGCATAGGTGAGAGGTGCATTTTTTAAAACAAAAAAAATCATGAAGGGTTATGTCTTTGTGTAATCCTAGATTCGTCATATTTTTCTCTTCGCCAGATTATGGAATATTTTGTTCACGTTAGCCACTAAATCATCGACGATATTAAAATGTGAACGAATTTATTCCGCTATTCGATATATTAAGCAAGACAAATAATATGCACCATTTTAATGTTTCATTTTCATCAAATTTTGATAAAAATTCGCTAAATATGCACAATAAAATACAAAAACACATAATTATACTAAATAAAACTTCACATACTCAACATCGGTACCTTGAAATGGATTTCTATGTCACCTAGCATTCAATACGACTTCGCGAGATTGATATTCAAATGCATAAAATCACGAGTCCTGATAATTAAAATTTCCATAGTCCGATCGCGTTCTGTCGATTTCCGGACACAACGTGCTGTTCATCAACAATCCGACGAACGACGAAAAATTACTGTTCCATACGACAATGTTATGTATGTTGTGAGTTGTGCTCGGCTTGACAATGGCGTATAGTCACTTTTTCTGTCCAGGCAGAAATCGTACGTGGGAGTTACGAAACCGTATACCTTCTTAGAAGAGATGTAGACTACGATATTATAATATAGGTACTATAGTGCTATACTGCTATCCCTAAACACTGTCGTGACATTGACAATGGAACGTGAAATCGAAATCGACTCGACCACCGCGGTCGTGTTTATATACAATAAGAACAGACCGGCAACGATTATTTAAATTACTTTTCAATCTAACGGTAAATTAACACATGAGTCATATTTTTTTCATCTATATTACATAAGGAACTATTACCTTTCGGGTTAGTAGTATTCATAGAATATTATGCGCTTGTGGCGATATAATATAACCGACATTTAAAACTCCTTGAATTGTTAATCTTACCTGTGATTACGTTTTATAATATATTTATTATGTTGAGTGTAAATAATATCTATTACTAAATCAAGTGCACGATTTACAATTTATCAAAACATGTGAATTTTTTTTTATTTTAAGAGTTGGGAATTTCCATACGCCTAATTGAAAAAGTTCATTCAAAATTATTCCTAGCCCCGCTTAATAAATTGGCTTTTCGTAGGAAGAAATCGCAGTGGGGAGGGCATTTATTAACACACTCTCCCCCCCCCCCCCCCCGGCACATGAGGTTAGATCCCTCGGTTAATCGTATCTTTGAACAGGAAAAATTATTTATAAGGTTTTGATATACTAAAAAAACAAAAATAACTATTACCAAAAGAAAAATAAATGTTTTCGATGACCAGTGAATACCTTGTGCTTCATATTTTATTGACTATTTTAAAGTGATATAATTTTCAATGAAGATGTATGTAATACAATATGGTTACATAAATTAATGTTTTACATATTTCATGAATATTGTTATAAATACAAGAAAAGGCATTGTAAGTACTATAATTGTGCTATAAAATGTTGATTGCTAAAAATTGTACATAAGTTAATTTGATAAAAGTGTATATCCAAATCATTGTATTTTATTTTAATTTGCTATACTATTATTACCAATATCCTTGCCTCGACGAGCTATTTATTTTGAAAATTATGTTATTTTAAAAACATTTCCAAAAAAAATACATATTGACAAAGTTATTGAGATGTGTTCCTATATAAATTATAAATGTTATTCTGTAAATAATTAGATTCCAAATTCACGCATGCGTGAAGTAAAAATATTGAAGTTGATGCATAAAAATGATAATAAATGTTCTTAATAATATTAACATCTACAACTAAATATATTTTTATAAATTATTACTAAATTAATTTACTTTTGTATAGACTTGCAAACCATCGCAATACTCCATTATTATATATTATTATAATTGACGGTTTAAACATGTTTTATTGTGATAACCATATTTACACAAACTTGTCTAGTATTTGCGTGATATGAAATTTATATTGTATTAACAATTAGTATGATATATGTTAAAATATCTTAGAACTAACAATCAATCGGCATTCTTGCACACATAACGACTTATAAACAAAATATAAAAAATCTCGACTACAGATTTGAAACTATAAATTAACTGGTTACTTATAACTTATTAGTAACTAAGCGTCTAAATATGAAATATTTCAAAAGTACCTGTACATGAGTATTTTACATTAAGTGAACAATACTACAATATTATTTTCATTTCCGACGCGACATCAATATAGTTTTTATTTTTATTTTGGAAAATGTTACTTGAAATAGAGGTAATATTAATGTACCATGAAAAAAGTGTTTAATAGATAACTTATACCTTTGTTCTGTAACTGGGTATATCTAATAGCTGATTAATTTGTATGACATTTTGTTATTTACGTGTTTTAAAAATATGTCAATTTTCACGAATTAATATCCGGTTGGATTAGATTTGCCTAACCGATTTATAAGATACTCGTATAATAAAATCAGGAAATAGCGGTAAGTACTTTAGTAACGGTCCGTTATAGTTTAAAGAAAATAGTTTGGTACCTACATTTTTACACTTTTAAATTCAATTTGTATGTTTTTATTGAGTAATTGCCGGATAGATATTATCGCTATTCGCCATTTAAACATCTAATAATCATTATAACATTAATTCATCATTTAAAGCACATGCCTCCATATAATACGAACGAATATAACAATGGTTATTTTATAAAAATTATGATAATAATTTTAACTAACTTAAACATTTAGCTTCTTAAAGGTGGTGATTGGGTATATTATTTTCAGCAATAATACGACACAAAAATTATATTTAGTCATTATAGGTTTATCTATAACAGTATTTTAAGGGGATTAAAGGTACTGAAATATATGTTGTCTTAGAAATGTTCTCCACGCCACTGGTATACATTATATTCGTTGAGTCTTTGACGACAACACTGCATGTTACCAAAAGTGGACCATTATTTTAAAACCTGTAATATCTCGTTTGTTTATTTATATTATAGTTTCTTATATGATAAATACGTAATTACATTCGTTTGAAAATTCAATTTCACATTTTTTATTTATTCAAACTTGTATACGACTATAATGTTTTTGTTCTTATTATAAGTCAAATCAATTCAATATTTTTAAATTTTAAATTTATGTTCAGCATAAATGGGTATTATAGGCTTCAGTAGAAAATTCCGATTGTATAGTTTTATCCATCATAATTTAAAGTCTAGAATCATGATTCGTGAACACAAAGTGATCGAAATGGTCCAGATATTATTTCATGGCGTATTCCTACACTGGATGTAAAATGTTTTACCTTGACCATCCACCAAGAACATGTTTCATTTTTTTTTTACGAATTCCACGTAGGTTGTATTTGTATACTTGTATAATTTGTATAGTAATTTAAAACATATAGCTATTACAAATAAAGTACATTGCGGTTTCAATGTATGAGCCTAATTTTTTTTTTAATGTTCATTAGGTATCTATAAATAAAAGGTGAACAATTTAATTTTTAATTTAAAGATTTTACTAATAAATCAAACTTAACCAACCACTCCCCCCCTTAAACAACTGCCGAAATGGGAATTCGAACTCAACCTCTCCTCTCCCAGAAAATGCATCTTTTTGCACCACTGGCATCCATCAATAGTTACTACTAACGAGTATTTTTATTTATAATTTTAAACTGATCCCACATTCAATTTCTAAATATTGTCATAAAAAATATTTCCTCTAAAATGTATTACTATATACTTAAATATCTATGTCATGCAAACAAATAATATATGTGAATGAAATTAGCTTATATTATATACAAATTAATATATGCGATCCATGATGGCACCCATGGCAGTATTTCAATTTACTAATACCTACATTTTGAATTCACGTAATATTCATGATTATCCAACACATACGTTTAAGATTCAATTAATTTTCTTGATGCTTTTCTTGTTTAATAAAATGTAGCCTTATAATATAATAGAAGTACCTTTACTTGGTATATTATATCCATAAATAATTTTGAAATATCAACAACATTCAAAGCTTACGAGTAACTAATTAAATTTTTAATTAAAAATAAAATCAACCAGCTGTATTTGTAGTTTGTACAATACTTAAACTGATTTTATCATTCAAAATTTTAATGCAAAATATTAAGCCTTGAATTCTTAAGACTAAGTGTTTTATTAAAGATATAAAAACTAAATGTTGGTTTATCAATACAATTAAGGGATTATTTTAATTGTATGATGATTAAATTATTGATGTATAAAAAGTCATAATCTTTGATATATAATATGCACAATAAATGCATTTATTATTATTATATCATAAGACAATTCATAACATAAAAAAAGTATTTCTATCTAAAGTATCTGAAGTATATTTTCTCTAAGACTAATCAACCGTGAAAATGAACATATTTCATACCAACAATAGAAACGTAATTGACCGAAACCTTAGAATTGATATAGGTGCTTCTGAAGAAATTGCTCCATCACTATTCTTAGTACACTATCAACTTTCATTTTTGTTTAAGTATTTTTATACCTTGTTTTATTTATCAGTTGCATTTATTTTACTTTTTTGTATTATAACGATAAGAGTTTTATAAAATCTCCCTTTTTCACGGCACTCCTCAATCATCGTGTGATAAACTCATAAATATAATTTTCAAAGAAGGTTATTTTTCTAGAACGTTTTACACATTACACGTTGTACAACTTTTTTCGACATCCAAATATTTTACAAAATACCAATAAACTATCATGCCATATCACTTATGTATTAATTGACCACGTAGGTGTACCTTTATAGTGAGTTACATCTTGATTTGTATGTCACAGGAAATAACCCAGAACCCGTGTGTATGGACGTGCTGGTCGGATTCGGTCAACTATGCGCTCGATTCGTGGGAAACTCGTCCACACCAAAAGACTTTGACGGTTGTCTAAAGTTAGAAGCTACCTTATTAAATGAAGTGCAGAACTCAATTCCCATGGGATGCTTTAAAATGGACCAAAATCGATTAATCTTCAACTCTACGTAAGTACCTATGTGCCAATATACAATATGCCTTCAATACAAAAGTTCATTTTTTTTCTCAATTTATAAAAAATATGTGAAAGGTGATTACATTTGTTTGGAATAAGATATTTTGATCAAATAAGTTTTGATTTTAAAATAGTTAAACATACATTATTGAACACGGGTGTAACTATAACTTGTATCATTTTTTTTCTGGTACAACTCAAATTAAAAATAATTGGGTTACCCATACTTATGATTCCATAATTTTTCAAATTAAGCCTTAATAATATTCCATACAAATACTTAAATACCTGCTCATATAATCATGAGAAGTATTAGCTTAGCTGTATAAGTATAAATACTCTTACAATAATTACGTTTTGATTTATTATACATTCAGAAATAATGAGTTCTTGTGAGTTAGTATAATAGGCAATTACCTACTAATATAATTACCCACTCAAAGCATTTTGTAAATTATTTATTGTAAATATGTAGAAATAATATCATATTTACCTTATTCAAAAATTACAACTCTTATACTATTTAGTATACTAAATATGATATTTATAGAAATATTAAAATATATAGAGAAAATATAATACTAAAAAGTACAATTTAAAATATATATCTAACTCATATATTTTTTTTATCAAAATTTATTGCAGCATTTTAAATTTAAATTTGTATATGATATGTACTATTCTTTTAAGGACAATAGGTATAATATGTAAAAAGAGAAAAAAAATACAAGTGATACTATAGGTACCTATAAATAATGATATAGTTTTAAAAAGCTTATCAATATATAATTATGTTATAAATTTAAATGCCTAAACTTATAACTATTAAATAAACCATAAAATATTAATATAATTTAGTAGTATCGAAATACTACTAATTCGATTAATACTTTAAAAGCTATTTTCAAATAATTAATAAACTCAGTAGTCGAAGTGGGTGGGATGGCATCCCTCCACTTTTTATAATTCATTCCTTCCATCCCTCCACTTATTTTGTATGACTGTTTGAGCAATATATGAGAACTATATAAATTATGAAAGGCATCCCTCCACTTATTTTGAACCACTTCGATCGCTGAATAAGCTGGTGTGCACTCACTTCTACGCTTAATATAATGATATAAATTAATTTTTAATGACAATTCACAACTTTTTGTAGTTGTTGCTAGATGTAACATACACTTGACACATCAAATCAAAACCAAAATAAAATAAAATATTCGTTCTATTGAAAAAAGTTAGATATAATTAGTATAAGTTAACTCTAAAATAATATAACTGGAAATGGACACACAGAGACTTGTGAGTTGTGGAAATATGACTGGTAAACCACGACAAACACAATATTCCGAGTGCATATGTACTCTATCTGGGAGACTAGACATCTAATTCTGTCATACCTTAGGCTCTCTACTGGTATATTTTATATTAAATGTGTCAAACCCTACGTGTCTGCTGAACGTTGAAAGTGTGTAGGAACGTGACTGAAAGATGAGTTATACGAGAAAAGGATGTGTTAATAGTGATACGAGACGTGCAGTTAAATAGGTACGTGATTAGTATCGATTCGATGTGTCATATCGATATCACTATAAAACAAAGTAATAGTTCCTATATTTTATCCACCGGGTCACCGGGATATAATATTTTATGCGCATTGGGTTTACTTACCCAATGTGCAAAGCCATATTCCACTGTTTTATACACAAACTTTATCTGAACAAAGTATTATTAAATATTAGGTATGGGTATAAAATAATATAATTTATATTTTTATTGTAATTAAAGATTTTTACAATGAATATTTATAATAATGAGGTAAGTAATTAGTATAGTAGGATGTCTCATAGTGTCTGTATACTCATACACAACGAGCCAGCATATTATAATTTATTACTAATATATTTTTTTATATTCAGTTAATTATCAATTATTTATATAACACGTCGTAGGTATACGTTTATCCAATTGAATAATAACGGAATGTTTGACTTCATCATGCAATTGTAATGTATGAGAAATTTATTGTCTTGATTTAAGGTAGCATTGAATTAAAATCGTAATAATATCGAAACAATTTATACGATAAGGTTTATGTAACTGTGTGCCGTGTGGACCTCTTAATGACATATTTTCTTACAAATTCGTTGAGTATATGATCAGTTACACAATTTATTTTTAGTTAAGTATCAGTAATCTCCTAGCGGTTAATATTAGTAGAGCCCGTGATAATACCTCCTCATTGGCGCTATAACAAATTATGACGTTTTTGAAAATGTACAAGGATTAATACGCGTCCAAAAATTAAATTCTAAGACCTCCAGTTAAAATGCTCAGATCCCTAAGACAATTATTGTCGTCTTTTAGAGATCCAGATTGCAATGATCAAATAGGGTTTTATTATAAATGACGTGTTAAGTGCCTTAGCTTGCTTCTCATGAGATAATAATAAGACGTCCTTACAACCGTCCTAATAACCTAACCTTACCTTGATATTTCTTTACTCGAGCAGCGTACTTGCAAGGTGTTCACAAATTGTAAAAATCAAAGTATTGTTTGGTTTTTTTCATATTTTCTTTAATTTTTTTATATTTAATTTTATTAATTTTTGCCCTTTTTGTTTGTACAATATAGAGTGGTCGATGTGCCGGAAGAGCAGTCCAACAACAGTACGGAATCGGGTGAAGAAGAAGAGAACGAGGAAGAGGAAGGTGTAGACCCCAACGAAGAAGCGTTCATACAGGCGTTTGGACAGACGGCCGTGCAGGGCGTCACTTGGCTGGTCCAAGCCATGGGATTGAACTTGAACCAGTCAACTAATTCCGGAACCACCGCTGCCTCAAACGCACCAACTGCAGGCCAACAACAGCCCTTGCCCGCGAATGTTTGATTATAAGATGTGACACCAAACTGACATATTGTTGTTTATCATTTTGCTTTTTTAGGGGTCCCGCATAAATTGTGACCTCACCAACCCAACGCCCACAACCTATATTTATTTGTATTATTATTATTATTATTATTATTATTATTATTATTATTATTATTATTACTATGTATTTGGTAGTTTTTGCACGTCCCACATCATTGCTTTCAATCGTACAATAATGATAATATATGCTCTCTCGGAGTTATATTAGCATACCTAATAATATTATTTGAGTGTATATTATAGATGCGGACGTACGCAATATCACATTTCGCAACAACAGTTTCCTATAAGCGACTTTATTTTAATTTTACTTTTTTAACTGTACAATATTAAATTATTTGTATACGGAATATATTATTTTATATGTTGCTAATTTATTACAATATTATGGTTTACTTGAAAATTGAAATGGTTATATTTCAGTAAATAGGTACTATTATAAGGTTATAAATAAACGATTAAAGTGTAATCAGTAACGTACCCACTGTCTTATCTTTACTACACCAACCAGTGACCACACACAATACATGTATTGCATTAATGAATTATGCATCGTATACTAGTATTTATGGAAGTATGAATTTATTCAGTGACGGCTTGTGCACACATTACTTGGTAGACTAAATATAAAGGGCTCCTCCGTTAGGTACAATTAGTAAGACATGGGGTCTTTCTTGACCACATTTTTTCAATAAATTTGAATTGGGGGGGGGGCACCTCGGTCGAGCCAACCTGGCCAAGGCACTACTGAGTATATTATAAGCCTCAACTTTACATGTATATAACATATCTTACACTTGAAGGAAATCATAATTTATCGCATAAAGCTCCCTCACACTGAAGCGGAGGCGACAAAATTCTTTTGTTTTGACGGTGCCACCACTGCGAGATGAAAAAAGATTGTTTGTATCCTATATATATTGTTCCCAATTTCCGAATATACATATATCTCCTTACTAACTTTCCCAAATAATAATCTTTGTTGGTTATAGGGTTTTTTTTTTTATTTAAATTTTGTGGAATTATAGGGGTTATGTTATAACATTTTATCACTGTATGAGTGATTTAACATACATTTTTGAATGAAAAAAAACAATAGAGTACCTATGTTTTTCCCCACTTGAGCGAATGTGACATCAAAAACCACATTAGTGGTGAGAGGTAAATCTCAAGTACAGCATGTGTACAACAAAACGAGTCTAAGATATGTGATGCTAAAAGTTAGTGAAGTACAGGACTACAGGAGTACCTACCTAGGGAATTTAGAGATACTAAAATGTTTCAATATTATTATGTTAGGTGTTCATAATTTTAAAATGTATATAAGAATAAGATTAACGAACATGCATGTTTATTATTTTTTTGCTGAGTGCGAATCAAAAATTATCAATATTATATCAGCAGTGACAAAAACAAAATTAATGAAAAAAAATTATGTAATCTATGTAGTATAGGTAGGTACCACACTACTACATAATGTTACACAATATACATAATATATTAATATTATTATATACACATTAATTATAAAATTATTGTTATATATATATATTAATATACCTATATTGTTATAAACAACCTAGTTTTCTAAACTGAACTATTTTTTTCATTCTATACTGAGACTCACACATAATATTTTTTTTTCTTATTTGGTTAGATTTTGAATTGGTATCTATAACCTATATACAAAAAAACACACATGTCATTTCTGTTGGGTAAACACGATTTAAGAACGTTGAACATATCATACATACTTAAGATCCGTTCACATATTCCCCACACACCTACATATACTGATAAACAAACTTCATACTTTTATTTTTCACTCAATATATGTTTTGAATGCATGACTGTCGTATACTACATTACATTACTACATACTTATAGATAAACTCTCACAAGACCTAGACACAAAACTTGCTACCCGCATCATATTGGAATCCTAGTGGAGTTAGGGAGCATTTAACATTTTATCTTTTAAGAAAATAGTTTTGTTTTTATCTCAAAATAATTCTACTAAATTTGAGTGTAATAAGTATGTTATGAAGATTGAAGACGTCCTTGCTCGTAATTAGTATATGTTAAAAGTTATTACTTATATAGTTATATTATCATTAATGTAAATGTAAACATTTTTAGAATAAACATAAATTCACACAAACAACAAACAACGAGCTAAATATTCGCGAAAAAGTGTTCACGAATATCCCTTGTAAGAGGGAGCAGAGCAGGACTGACAACATAAATGTTATTAATTGTCTAAATTGTAACACTTTTGAATATTATTGTTGTTTAAAATAGTCACTATATACATGCACAATCTTTAGGTACCTTTTATTTTTTTATTATTTTTTTTTATTTTAATTTGCATTTTATTTTAAAATAATTATAGCAAAGCGATTACAAAAGGTACCTATTCAATTTGTGGTTTTTTGAAATTCAAAAATATTTTCAAACTTGCATTAATCTTTCAAAATTAACAATTTTGTTTATCAACCACAATACGTTTGTTGTGAAGATAATACTGGTACCTACCTATATTATAATTCAGAACTTATAAGAAAATAAGAAGAGAATAATAAATATGAGTAATGTTCAATAAGATACATTTTTTCACAGAGTCTCAGCTTTGATTGGAGAAGCAGATGGAGAAAAAAACGAGTTTAGGATCGTTTGTTTTTTAGTGACACTCATATTACCAGTTTACCGTTATCTAAAGCCAGTCAGTAGGTACTGTTGACTTCAGCTAGTATACTAGGGGTTATTACTTATTAATATAGTACTTGAAACAGAATTTTAATAACAATAATATTATGCCAACATACAACGGCCAACGGCACAGAAACAGCTGACAAACTAGGCATTATTAATATTTTCCAAATATAATATATATGAGGATGTATTACAATACATCTGCTCTTTTTCTACTACTCGATGTTGATTCACACTAATGTATACCTATCTCATTTGTATTTAGAAAATTATTTATTTACATTAAACTATAGGAAGTACAATGCGTATTAATTAAAACATTGATTGATCTCAATTACTAATAATGCACCGATTTGGAGGAGGATACGACCTTCAAGATAAGAATCATTAAAACAGAAGCGCTGAAACGTAAACTCGGCTCAATGATAATGTGCACATTCTGCATTCCGTAGTGTATGTTTAACGTCTATACGTTAAGGGGCACCAACATGATATTATTTTCAATTTTGTTTCCTCTATATCTATCTCGAGTGTAATACACCAACAAATGTACTAATTCCGTAATCCGTACTTCCACGATTACGATTCTCTAGCTTCTTTTAGGGAACATGAACTTATTTTACGCTTTACAAAAAAAGTATGATTGCTGTGAATTGGCCAGTTAGTTTTTAAATATTTTCATTTTTTTTTTTATATCGAGATAAGCGTGTTTTAATGCCTACTGAATTCATCTTATTTTTAACCATTAAAATAATAGCTACATAAGAGGAAGGATGTCAGCTCACTATTTATTAATTTTCTTTGTCTGGTCCACGCACAACACAAGCAAAACGCATTTACTCAAAATCTATTTTTTTGTTTTTTTGAGGAATCTTAGAGTAAAACCATCCATTACAAAAATTATAAAGAAAAATATTATTGGAGGTATGACATAGGTATTGATTTTTTTCTAATAGGTGATTTAATTTTAAAGTTAAACTTAAACATAAAAACAAAAAAAAAAACGATTTCACGTGACCGTATTTTATCTATGTTGAGCGTCGGCCAGAGAGAGAAAACAAATATTGTGCAGACATCCTCTTAATCATGATTAATATATTTAATATAATATTTTCATACGTTTTATCATGCTCTTCATAATACGTCTTAATAATCGTAATAGTACGGAGTTACTATACTGCGCGTTAGACAGACAGAGCAAGCAAATGTGGCCACTTGTCGTAGGTTTACGTTGGTTATGTAGTTAGCACTTGCTAACTTCATAGTGTGAGTGCAAATTTAAGTAGCTCTCTACGCATTACAATAACATAACGTTACATATTAAATTTCAATATTATGTTACAGTCCAAATAGTTTTCACATCATTAAGCTATGCAATATATTGTGTAGGGTATGGACTATAAGTACCTACTAATAGTTTTTAAACGGAGAAAATATTGTTACTGGCATTTAAAAAACAATTTAGTACCTAGGTACCGCTGACATTACGCGTAGTAACCAGTAGATAACTAGGTATGACAGTACTACTCGGCATCATATATTATATATAAATAAGTATTTCTGCAGGGGTATAGCCGATTTGTGTCAGTCACACATGATTTCGTGTAGGTATTCGAATATTTTGGTCTTTACAGAGAATCATAAAATATGCACTTTGCGCATTTACCATACGTAATTAATAAAACATGCAGCATCGCCTTAACCAATTAATTCATTATCGATAATTAATAGTCCGCAAACGATTAGGAGGTACCTATATGCTGACTGTACTGAACGTCTTGACTTCGCATATTCATTACAACAAACCTATTATAAAGAATATCTGTCTTGTGTCGTGTAACGTGTAAACATAATATGTCCATACAGAACCCAACCTAACCATACAGAATCATGGAAATTATTATTAACAATAACAAAAAATATTTATGTACTTCCAAATATTATTTAGTGTAAAGTTCTGTTACCTACCATGTTTTCTATTTCATATTATATAATGATAAATTCATGGTAAATACCTATACGATTTTTCATCAATATTGCATAACATTAATAAATTACTTTTCCTCAAATCTAATTAATTACATAAGAACTCGTTTGACATTTCTTTGTAATAAACTAATGTATATAGGTACTTACATAATGTTAATATTTTGGAAATAAACAAAAAATAAAAATATTATTCAGATATTTGATAACAATATTTATAATTGTCCATTGACCTTACACATAGGTAATACCTGTTTGGCTGTTTACAAACACATTAATTATTATT